CACCCACCTGCATACACACCTGTATACACCTCATCTATACACCCCACCTGCATACACACCTGTATAGACCTCACCACACACTCTACCTACATACACTTATATACACCCCACCCATATCCCCTCACCTGCACACACCTGTACACCTGTCACATGCACCCATACACACCCCACCTATATACTCTCACCTATACACCCCCACCTACAAATACACCCCACCTGCACATACTCCACCTATACACCCTCTGTACACACCCCACCTATACACTCCCACATGTGCACACACTCACCTGTATGCCCACTTGTACATCCCACCTGCATGTACCTCACCTACACACCATCCACCTGCACCTCCCACATGCACATCACCTATGCACGCATCCCACCTATCTGCTCCACCTGCACACACCCGTACCCAACTAACACACACCTGTGTCCTCCTGTATACCCCAATGTTCACACACCCCACCTGCATACATCCCTGCACACACCCCACCTACACAGCCCACCTGTACATGCCTGCACATACCCATCTATCCACACCCCCCATATACCACTACCTGCACACACACCCCACATGCACACACCCACCTGCACACAACCTACCTACAACCCCCACCTGCACCCACCAATGCACTCCCACCTGCACATAACCCACCTACATGCCTGCACACTCCCACCTATGTACTCCCTACCTATACACATCCCATACTTACACACTCCACCTATGCACCCTCACACTGCTGCACACTCCCTTATCACCTGCACCCTCACACACTGGCTCTGGCACCCACACCCCCTACATACCACACACTGTCCCACAGACGGAGTTGACTTCTGTCTCTCACTTGTCCCCAATGCTGAGTTCCTTCCAGAGAGGCCTGCATGGGACAGAGGGAGGGTTCTGGCATCCTCTGGCTCAGGTGAGGGACCTGGCACCCAGAGATTAGCAACAGCCAGCCTAGGGCAGGCTCAGTCACATTCACAGCTAAGATCAGAACCAGGAGATGGGGTACCTGCCTCAGTTTCCCCATCTACACAAGCCCTAGAGATTGCCTTGGGGCAAATGGGTTATTTGACCCTAGAGAGGTTGCTGGACTGAGGCAAAGGGACTGGAGGATGGCCCTGGGTCAGAGCTCAGCTGGACCCAGCCCTATGTACCACCAAGCTCTGCCACCTCCTGTCTCAGTTTCCATATCTGTAAGAGCATGACTAACAAGGGGTTATGGCCTGGGTGCACAGATGTTGTCCTTCACACCTGCTGTCCATGGGTCAGGCCCCCATGACAGTTGCCTCTGCCTGCTGCCTGTTGCCCTGGCTCTGACTTCCCCTTCCCTCCACAGTGCCAGGTCTCAGACTGCCCAGGTGATACAGCTCTGTGCCCAGCCCCTGCTCACCACAAAACACCTGACAGGAGGGATCAGATGGCACAGCTGGTGGCCCCCAGCAATTTGAGCTTCCTGTGTCTGCTGGGGGGGTGCAGATCTTGTCAGACAAGAAGCACTAATTTCTTGTCAGAGACACAGGTGTGACAGATCCTTCAAGCCCTAACCCTTGTCCTGACCTAGGATAAGTGATAACCCCAGAGCCAGAGATGCTGAATTCAGGGATGGTATCAGTTGCTACTTAAGCTCTACTCCTGAGTGTGGGCCTGAGCAGCTCAGCTATGTATCCACACAAGCTAGGGAGGCAGAGGGTCCCAGCAGCTACCAGCCACAATCACAAGGCACTAATTATAAGGGGTCAAGGCCCCACTCTGAACTTCACCAGACCCACAGACCTTTAATTCCAAGAGGCTCATGGCCAGCAAAGGTGGACCTTGATGTACAGAATATGGCCAGGCTTTGGGGACTCAGAGGCAGGGCATCTCCTGGACTAATATGAAGCTTCTTAGAATCCAATTATATGTCCATGGTCATCTCTCAGCGCATTCCCTCCTCCCTGCATGTCCACTGCACCTACTACATCCTCACCTGGGGCTGCTGTTGTCGTAGGAAGGGCAGTTTAGGCAAGCATCAGCAATGCCCACTGGAGCCACCTGCCTGGGGCCCCTCTAACTCTGCCTAACCCTCTCATCCCCTGGACATGCATTTCCTCACCTGCACTGGCACCTCAGGACCAATAGGGACATCCTGAGCAACAGGTAGCATGGGGATCCCGAGACTGAGGGTGCTGCATGCAGGGCTGGTCATCAGGTGGGCAGGCATCACCAGCCCAAATCACCAGCACCATCTGTATCATGACCAGGCTTGAGCACCTGCTGGGCCTCCTTGAAACCACAGCAGAGTGGGATAGAACACGAAGGGACGAAAGGACATCAGTCACCTGCCACTGGTCCACATGCTGCTAGGCCAGACCCTATTTGCCCATGATCTCACAGCAGGGCAACACTGTGATGGAAGACTGCATGAGACACTAGTCCAACCTCCTCTCCCCGGCCCACCCATGGTCAGTGAAACTCCCAGGCTTTGCTAAGGAAGCTGCATCATTACAAAGAAGGCCTTGCTCCTGGCCTGCCACTTGGCCCTCAAGTGTTCCCAAGGAACTCCACTGGGTGCCAGGCCAACCTGTCCCCAAACAGACTGCCTGCTAGGGCCTCAGATCCCAAGAATATGACAGGACAGAGGCTATGGATTTGGGTGAGACATGAGAGTCGTGATGAGATAACAGGAAAAAAGGCAACTACGCCTGCCAGAGAGGACAGTGCCTTCTGTGGCCACCCACCTCCCCAAGGACACGACCGTGGGAAAAGCCACTCTGGACACAAACCTCTCAGGAGCTGCACGTAGTGGATGCACTGCTGACACTGGTGGTGTTTCGTGATGCTGAGGGGAGAGCTCCGCTGACATGTGTCCCATGTGCCTACTGCTCTCATGAGCAGCAGCCTTGTCCAGCTGAGCACGTATGTGGGCCCATGGCGGCCATGGCTCCAGCTGAGTACACATGGGGGTCTGTGCATGGTGCGTGGCGCATGGTGACCACCGCTCCAACTGAGCACACGTGGGTCCATGTCTGGTACAGGTTGGCCATGGTGGGGCATAGCCTATGACCAGATCCGGAACCTTGCCCTAGATTGCTGAAGGGGCTTGGCTGGGACCAAAGACCTGAACACTATGTGTCCAAGAGATATAAAAGGCTGATGGGGACATCTGCTCTGGCCAGCAGGCAGTCACTGCTCATGCGTGACTTGGCTGACCATGAGGAAAGTCAACTGGATGGAGGGAGCAGGCTACACGAGGGCATGCTACACAGGTGGTGTAGCTGTTCAAGCTGACCAAGGGTCAACCTTGGCTGTTCACACCTTCAGAAAATGGCCCTGCTTGGAGATGTTTGCACCTTATGAAGATAAACTCAGAAGTGTATTAAGTCAGGGCATACAAATTACAGCAAACAGAGCCCTGCTTGAAGCATACATACAAACTCAGGACTAAAATCAGAAGGGTCGTTCCATCAGACTCAGGTTACAGCCTGCCTGTCCCAGCATCTCAGCACAAACTCTGCACTCATGATCTGTTGGGTCACCAATGGCATTCCACAATCAGAACCAAAGGTCTGAGCCCTTCTCTGCAGTTCTGCTCTGTTCCCAGGAAGTATCTGCCATGGCGAGGAAGGTTAGCATGGGCACAGAGAGGCAGAAGTGGGAGGGGCCAGGCACAGAAGTAGGTGATCATGTGTGCACACAGGCACCTCACTGGGCTGATGAGTTCAGCTTCCAAATGAAAGGGTCATCTAGAGTCTGGTCCACTCCTTGCCCTTGCATGAGTCAGTGGTTATCCAAGCATGAGGAGCTGGAGCTGGGCTGCCTATAGGTGGTGTCTAGCCCAAGAAGGTGAAGGATTACTCTGCACCCTCATCAGATGTTCTGACAAGAATGCCTGCAGGTCTTGATCCGGCTTCCTTGGAACAGGAGGCCTCAGTGCAGGCCAAGCTCCAGGCCCTCCTCAGTCCCAAGCAGTGGCCTGAGCCACAGCTTGTGGCAAGGTGCAGGATGTCTAGGCCATGACTGACAGGCTGTATGGATGAGTCAAGACAAGACAGTGAAAGCCAGACATGAGAGGGCATCCATCGTGGGATTCCACTGATGTGAAATACCCAGAACAGGCAAATTCAGAGACAGAGAGGATTGGTGACAGCAGTGGTTACAGGGTTTCTTTACAGAGTGATGGAATTTTCTGGAATTTTCTGAAACAAAAGTGGAGGCTGCACAACATTGTGAGTGCATCAATAAACCGTGTACTTTAAAGTGGTCAACGGTTAGTTCTATGTTGTGATTTTTGTTGAAATAAGAACAGGTTTTTTGAAGCTTAGGCGTGGAGCCAGGAGATCTTCTCTCCTTCCCTGAGGAGAAAAGATGGGGGTACCTTGCTGTCAGGAATACCCATGCCTATAACTCCACCTGTACCTCAGGGGTAGGGTCTAGGAACTGTGGGATGTGACCTTCCAGACAGGTGTGGACTCCCAGGGTTTGCCTCCTGTCCTACACAGGGCCATGTGCTATGCAGAGCACTTGGGCTGTGTACCCATGAGGTCACTCCAGGCTGTATGCTGGTGAGGTCACACAGGGCCGTGTGCTATGCAGAGCACTCCAGGCTGTGTGCTGGTGAGGTCACTCCCCACTTTGGGAGCCCTGGCTGATGTGACTGCATGTGTTCAGGGAAGCCCAACAGCCTAGGAGCCCCTAGAGCTTGGGAGAACATAGCACAGCTCACCCAAGGTGCAGGTCCAGGCGCAGTTGACCTCTCCAGCCTTTCCAGCCATGGGGAGGGAGCACTAGCCCAGAGGCTGAGGTGTGGGACACAGAGCCTGGGCAGTCTGCAAGCAAGGCGGCTATAGGCCAGTACACTTTTAGCAAGGGCACTGCCCTCCTATGGTAGCTGCTCCTAGTCTAGGCCAGAAAAAAGTCTCCGTAGCCTTCTGATGTTTCATCCAGACGTGTGAGGCTTTGCTCCCTTCACCAGTGTGTAGGGACCTCCATGAGGACCCATGCAGCCCAGACAGCCTCAGCCAGCCCTCCTAGCCCAATGTCATGCTTGTGCCTGGGCACTGCATGCTCTCTGTGGGGCCACCCATCCACAGGACTGAGCCTTCATCTGTACTCAGCCCCTGAAGACCAGGGTTTCTTCACTTTCATGTTTCCACGAGGGAGGTCTGAGCAACAGAGGTGTGCCCAACATCACAGCAGGGCAGGGAACAATCACATGCTCTCCCCATCTTAGAAATCTCTTTATTAGGATCATGTTTACAGTATAGTGCAAATATAAACAGGCACCCAGTAAACACATCCAGTTATGAAACGCTTCACAGCCCTGAATACTTCATTCTACCAGGTGTAAAGCTCACTGTTTTCAGCAGAGCAACTCCCTCCACGGGCTCAATGATAACACAGGAAGCAGCAGTTGCCTCAACTGGCCTGCCCGGGACTCCCCACGGCTCCTGCGTAGTCCCTCCATGGCCTGCTAGGAATTGCACTGTGCCCAGCACGCTTGCAGGACTCTCACAGAACGAAGACTTGAGCTGGACTGTGCATCCACACTACACGGACAAGATGAACCCACACCCTGGAACTTGGAGCACACCACATGGCTGAGCAATCAGGCTGCACGCCCTTCATGCAGTTTTCACTGCTCAGAACTCACAGCATCACACCTCTGCCATCAACATGACAGTGCGGACAAGCCACCCCTCTCTAGCTGCGGCTGCATGCCAGAGGGAAAACTGTACATGCAAATAAAACCTAGGAAAAACCCTGGAGGCCTCCTGCAAGCTAGTTCTTTGTGGAGGCTGCAGGTTCCGGAGACTGGAGGAACTCGTATGGGTCATGGGTTACATCCGGCTGCTCCCCAACACTAAGGCGAGAAGGGCTTCCTGAAGATTTGAAAAAAACAAGACATTTCAACATTCGACAGATCTGCAGTGCTCATGAAACCAGCAATGTTGGCCTGTGTGACTGATGTGCAGAGGGGGTCCATACTGGCTGCTGAACTGACACAGGACCATGTGGAACCTGCCTCAGGCACTACCTTGCTGACACCAATTACAAGGTGAGCAAGACCAAAAACATTGGTCCTTCTTCCTGTGGCCTCGGTCATAGGACCCTCGGAAAAGGTTAGGATACATTCTGCCCACAGAATGGGGGTGCACTCAATGATGAGCATTTGCCTTGCATGCACAAAGTTCTCAGTTCTTGGTCCCAAGCACCAAGTGCAACAACAAAAAGACAGAACAGCACCGGGATGTACTAAGCATGTATAAGGAGCCAACATGTGCAGTTCTGCATGTGGCTGAGACACCCAGCTGCCAGGTGTGCATGGTGTGATCCAACTCTCCTTGATATGGACCGTGACTAGGGATGGTCATGTGACCTCTACAACATGGATTAGCACACAGTCTAGCACTAAAATCTTGATCAGCAAAAGACCCCCAGGGGACAAGTCTGAAGTGAAACAGACATCCTGCAGTATAACTCAGCTCATGCCCCAGCAATGCACCAACTGGGCTCCTAGGGCTGCTTCCAGGGTGTAGAAGGTACAGATGAGGTCTTCTGATACTATGTCAGGCCCCCTGCACCAGAACATTCTTAGCCCCATGGGCCTGACACACCATCACGAAAGGGCTCCCTCCACTAGACCCAGTCTTTGCCATTGTCCAGGCCAGTGGGTCACCTACCCGGGGGGTGCTGATCCCTCTCAGAGGTGTTGGACAGGGAGCTGAGGTTGGATGATGGCCGAGAGCCCCCTCGTTCTGCCTGTGCCTCGTGCAGGTCCTGTAGGAGTCTCGTTGTCTCATCCAAGTTCAAGTGTCCATCATCATGATCCAGATCTTTCTTCACTTTCCCTGTGAACAGGGATGACCAGACGCTGGTACACTCAGCCAGTCCTGAGCCCCGAGGCCAGCACACAGCTGGAAACACTGCACAATCACTCTGCAAGATTGTCATGGGGGGTGATCACAGTAGATGGTGCCCAACTCAAGAACAGATCACACAGTTGGGAAGAGTGGGCCAGTGACTTTATATAAGCAAAGCACCACGCTGAATCTCAGCTATTTGATGCACAAACACAGGGGAGAGCTCTCACCACAGCAAAGGCCTAGTCAGGTATGCTAGCATCCTGCTACAAACAACAACAGGCAGGCAGAGTGTGCAGAGGTCTGCAGAGCCCCTCCGCCCAGCTCATAGCCTGGAGGGGACTCAGCAGGTCCTGAGCTCACTCCTCTCAGCAATTCACCACCTTAGCCTGAGGGAGGACACTACCAGTCAGGGAAAAGGCCCCCAGCAATTGCTCAACAAGCCAGGAACTCAGGGACATGTCTCTGATAACCTGTATGCCATCAGCCAGATGTCCGATCAAGCCCTGAGAAAGGTGCAGCCTAACAGGGGCCACCTCTGCCCATAGCAAGGGTGGCCCTAGACCAACAATACCAGGAGAGGGTCCAAAGGATTCCACACCACCCACCCTGAGAACACCAAACCCCAAACTGGAGTCAGTGGGCAGAGGGAAAGCAGTCCCTGGAAATATGCTCCAGGTGCAAAGAGTGCAGAAGGCATGAGGCAAGATGGGATGACAACACTAAAAATGCCAGAGATGAAAATAACAGGGTTGGTAGCAAGAGCACCACCAACTCAGGCTGCTCAGGTACCCAGAAAACAGGTAAGCACAGGCAGCATTAGCAGCCTGAGGAATGGTACAAAAGAGGGTGGGCTGGTGGTCACTGGACAAATGACAGTTAAGATTTCCATGTTTGACAAAAGCTATGTGAACCCAGGTCCCAGGAGAATTAAATCTGAAGAACATCAAACCAAGACTGACAACTAAGCTGCTGAAAAGTGGGAAAGTAAGGAGAAATTCCACCAAAGCCAAGAAAGAGAGTAGCTGCTGTGCAGAAAAGCACAATCAAGCAATCTGACCACTGTGCACAGGAGGCTGGTGTCCCCAGGTCTGTTATCTGGGGAAGGTCCATTACCAACTGACACTAAACTGTGCCCAGCCTGGACCATGTCAGCCTCTGCCCTCCTGTGGGGCCTGGAACTGGTGTACACCAGGCACTGGTGCCTGGTCACTGGTGAGCTTCCCTGGGGGACCTTCCCACATGTTGTCACATCATGTTCCATGTGAACATGATGGTCCATAGGAGGGACCTCTGGAAACTCAAGCCTGGTTCCCTCTGCTCATTCCAAATGCCTTCTCCCTGTGCTGATTCTGTGTCTCTCACTATAAGATTGTATCCATGAGGATGACCACATGTTCAGTCCTGGGAGACCCCCGCAGCAGGTCATGGAACTTAGGGTGTCAAGGGAACTGTGACAGAGTTGAGAAAAGACCATGAACAGCAAGATGAAAAAAATGAATCTACTCGTATTGGAAATTAACAAAAGCAAAATGCAACAAACTAAAAACACTCCAACCAATAGGCAGACAGTGTGAGGCTGGGAGACAGACTTCACTACCTTGCTCCTTAAAATGGCATCAGAAAACCCACTGTAGACACAAGGCAGAGCTCATCAGCCCCAGTGACACTGGGCCAGGTCATTCCCTGCACTGTGGGATGTGGGGTGACATTAGGTAGGCTCCCTCAAGATGTGACAACTGCTGCATGTGTCCTAGGTGAGGCCCAAAGAGGCAAGCAGGTATGCTCAGGGGAAGGAGGGAAGGCACACATGAGTCAAGGGCACTGGGTGGCTGGCCAGTCATGGATGAAGGACAGTTAGTATAATGCACTTCCTATGGTGAAAGGCACACACACACTGACAGCCAGCTGACACAGGTGGCACCTGGCACATGACTCACAGCACTCAAGCATCCCAGCAACTGTACAGTCACAGCCTCAAGTCAAAAAAGGAGACCAGGGTAGCACAGCTGGGGGCCACAGAGAGGCTCTGCACAGATGGTCCCAAGGACAGTCCTTCTACAGCCACCGGCACACACCAGGCTACCGGGGGCCAGTGTCAGAAGTCACCTCTTCTGGGTTGAGCCTGACAATTTAACCATGGAGTTCTAAAGAAAACACAAATTAGGGGCCAGGTATGGTGGCACATGATTATAATCCCAGCTACACAGAAGGTGGAGATCAGGAGGATCGTAGTTCTAAGACAGCCCAGACATAATTAGTGAGACTCCTACCTCAACAAACAAGTTGGACATAGTGATGCCCATCTGTAACCCCAGCTATAAGGAAGGCTTAGGTAAAAATATCACGATCTTAGGCCAGCCCTAGGTAAAAGTACTTGACCTGAACTGAAAGATAACTAAAACAAAAAGGACTGGGGATGTGGCTCAAGTAGTAGAGCACCAGCCTAGCAAGCACAAGCCCTGTTCAAATCCCAGTACCGCCAAAGAAAACCAAAAACAAAACAAAAAAAAGGAAAAACCACAAACTTTTATTTCCTATCTCTCACATGCCAATTTCCCCCAGTGACAGTGCTGTGGCTAGAACCCAGGGCCTTGTGCATGCTAGGCAAGTGCACTGAGTCCTCTAGTCCAGCTCAGTTGACTCTGGAGACCAATAGACACCACAGGCTGAGTGCTCAGTTCCTAAGACGGCTCCCCTTTCAAGCCCCAAGCACAGCCCCATTTTGTTTTTCCTCCGCTTCTGGCCATAAATCAGAGCTCCCATGAGCCCCTCTGCAGGTTCGTTTATTGGCCAGGATGGCTCATGGAACTCAGGGAAACCAAGTACTCATCATTTTTGCACTGCATGGGCTCGGCTGGGGGGCTATGTGGTAGAGTGTTCAGAATGACTTACCCAGAGAGCTGAGCATGGACATGTCCAGAGAGACGTCAGAGTATGATTTCATTGTCATGAAGTCTAGAACAGAGCCAGCACCATCTCCCAGGGAGTCCCCAACCTGCACAAGACAAGGCAAGTATCAAGCTTAAATGAAGACAAGATAAACATGAAGCAAAAACCAACACCTAAAGTCAGCTGTGGAAGACTACAATGTGCTAAATTTGAGTCTCCCTGAATAAGTGACAAAACCAAGCCCTGACCATGAAGCTGCAGTCCAAGGGACTCAGCTGGAGCTTGCAGGTGGATGCACAAACACACATCCACGAAGAATCTCCTCAGACCATCACCACCCTTGGTAACTCTACCATCTACCCAGAACAAACTACATTTTGCTAACGTTACAGGAAATCCATAGGCTCTGCAGGGACATGGGAGATATCATGCTACAGGCAGACACGTGGAATCTACAGGGCCCATGACTTTTTCCAGGAGCCGTGCAGCAGATTCTCAAACCAAGGCTTTCTCCTTCCAGTATGGGACCAGGGTTCTGAGAGGCTTCCTGCCACCCAGCTTCAGCACTCACATCCACACCTGATCATCGAAGCTCAAAGGTTGCTGCTGGCGGTGGATATGCTTTGCAGCATGGCCCATATTGCTGTCTGTGACACTAGGCCACACTTGCTACACAGGCCCGGGCAGCTAGTGGTACAGAGCTTGAGGACTGGGCTTGGAAGAACACACCTCAGCTTCACAGCAATCCCTTTGGTTCGCTAAAGCAGAAGCACTGCCTGATGCTGGTTTCCTGCACAGATGAGCAGGACATTCTACTACCACCCAGTATGAGGGCTGCGTGGCCACGCCCCACACAAACCCCATGATCAGGCTTTTAGTCCACGCTAGGGAAACTCACCTTCACCTCATCTGCAGGTCTCACAGGAATGCTTCTCCTCTGCAAAGTAACAAGGGGAGAAACCAGCTTTTCAATGTGATTTTACATCTCAGGGCAACCCATCCATCCTACACACACACGTCACAGCCTCACCACACTCAAGAGCTGATGTAGGGTCTTACAAGGCTCTTCCAGCTGGTAGTGATACAGCCATGCACTACTCCATGCTAGCTAAGAGCCTGGAGGCTGTGCCAGGAAAGGTGCCCACAGGGCAAGAGGGGCAGGAGTGGGTCCAAGGCTGCATGTGCAGCCAAGGATATTTTAAACAGGCCAAGAAAGGCCACTTGAGAAGAACACAGGCCTGGTGGTTTAGCCTGAAACATGACCAAGCCTGAGACCTGCTGGAAGTTCTGATAGAGACAGGTGTGCACAGGACAGAGGCAGATACTCGCACTGCCTGCCAAGGTGGGCAGCCATGTTGTCCTCCATAGCACCATTGTCCTGTGCTTTGATAGGAGCAATCCCTGAAACACCCTCATTTTGCACACGTTCCTCAAAAGATGTGATTTGGTGCACATTTCCAGCTCCTGATCTTGGTCCAGAACAGTGTTTCTGAGATGTAGCTATACTGTGATTTCACCAACTTTTAATTAGAAATGTGGCCATCGTTTTTAGGTCTGTCTTCTCTTAGAAACATCCGCTAATGTTTACGTTTTAGTACTGAGTATCATTTAATGCTGCAGTGCACTTGAAATTATTCAGCCATAATACAAATTTGCCCTTATAAAAGAGGTTACCCTGGAACTCAGAGTTAATCAACAATGCAATCTCATTTCAGGGCCACAACAAGCCAAATGCCTTCCTACCATAATACTGACAAAGCACAGAAATGGCTTCCTGTCTGGAGAGAACCTTCAGCAGGAGATAGTAACCAGAGCAGGAGCGAAGGTCATGGGCTGGCAGGCACAGCTCAGGAAAGGACCCAGTAATCACTATGCTCATCTTTGCAGGCACAGAACAGGAGCTGAGCTCACGGGCTGGCGAACACTGCTCTGGAGAGGCCCCTGAGTTTCTATGCTGTTCTATGCAGTCCCTGAGCTCAGGGGCTGGCGGGCAGAGCTCTGGAGAGACCCCAGGGTCTCTATACTGGTCTATGCAGGCACAGACCTCCCAAGCTGGTGGGTTCAGCTTTAGCGAGGCACCAGGGTCTCTCTGCTGGTTTGTGTAGGCACAGAGCAGACTACAAAGCCAGGTGAAAAACCATGAGATCCAGGAAGCAACACACTCCTGAGACGCCTCAAGGAAAACCTGGGCCATGAGAAGAGACCCAGCATGCAGTTCCTGGACATTAGGACAGAACTAGCCCCAGAGTATGGCTGCCCTAGACCTGGCCTGACAGAATCAGGAGATCCCAAGTTTTAACCTTCTGTCAAAATGTACATCAGCGCATTGAAAAGAAAACATAAAATCCAACCATCCTTGGGATGGGGATGTAGCTAGTGGCACAGTGCTTGCCCAGCACACACCAGGCCCTGTGTTCAATCCCTGGCCCTGGAAAAAAAAAAAAAAGGAAAATCCTACCTGCTTTGTCCAGCAGAAATATACTGTGTGCGCATGCTGAATTTGAAATTTTCTAGTTGCCTCACTAATATATAATTAACTGTACCATGTCTTACTCATCCACTATATTGAGAGCACTTTCATTCTACTGTGTAGCCCCATAAAACAGTTAAAATGGTGTTTCCACATTTCTTCTTTCACCTTAGTCTTTGCATTCTAGTTTGCAGTTCATGCTTAGGTCACATATCATTCAGGCTGGCCACATTCACATTTCTCAGGAGTGAGACATATGGTCGGTGGCTGTTTACCAGACACCCTGCATGGTCAGAACTGTTGGGCATGCAATGACATCACCAGAATTAAATTATGAACATGCTCAAAGATTCAAAGGAAAACAGGACTAAAATGTGAGAGAATGGAAGATAGAAAGGAACACCTGGAATTCTAGAGCTCAAAAATAGTATCGTATGTTAAAGGGAAACCCCACTGGCTAGAATTAACAATAGATTTAGACAAGGCAAGGGAGTGGTGAGCTTGAACTTGAAGCCATGGCAATAGAAATGATTCAAACTAAAACAACACAAGAGAGCAGAGTATTAGTAACACATGAAGTAACATCAAGTATCTAACACAAGTCAAACTCCTACAAAAAGAGAAAGAGGCAAGAACAGAAAAGGGTATTTGAGGGAACAGAGCTGACAATGACAAACTGACAGACCCAAGTAGCCAATAACCTCTGGCAGGACAAGCACACAAAGCTTGCTGCTGACACCAGCCAGGAATAAACGTTTAAGACATAAGAATGTCCATAGCTCATGGGCAGTACAAGCTAAGGGTCGGAGCTGGCCAGGGGCTGCAGTTTGTCAGCATGGTCTGGACAGACAGTCAAATCACAAATGGAAAACAAAGACCTACAAAGGGCCACAGACACTTCCTCAGAACCAACGAAAGTCAGATATTTGTTGGAGCAAAGGGAAAAGGTCTCCCTAAATCCATGCTCAAAGAAAATGAATTTCAAAAGTAAAGCCAAAACCAAGACTTCAAACAAAGCTGAGAAGACTTCACTGTCAGCAAATCTGTGCTGTGAGAAAATATCAAGAAAAGTTCTTCAGTATGAAGGAAAATGATGGCAGAAGGAAGAAATGTGGGCATAGAGAAAGTTAAGAACTGAAAATCATACAGCAAGTTCTTTGAAAGATAAATAGTTATTAAAAGCAAACTTTAAAGCCAAGGTGGCAAGAACAGCCAGCAATTATTTAAACTCAGCCCACTCTTCCCTGGAAACCCAGCCAGGCTGGTTAGGCTCTCTGCACAGGACATCACCAAGAGTGGGCTGAGAGCTGTGCCTGCAAAGGTGTGTCACACATGCGGCCCACCTGCTTCAGCTGGAAGAGCATTCTTGAGTGGTCTCCACCTGTGATCTGGTCAAGGAGGTCATCCACCATTTTCTTGCTGTAGCTCCCAGCATCCTTCACAAACTCCTGTAGGCTAGAAGAGGACCATGTGAGAGAACGTGTCAAAAAAGTACCATGCCTTTTATTTCAAGGTTTTGCTGCCCACCACTGACCACGGTCCTGACTCCAGAGCCAATGTCAGTGCCCTCCTCAGACAGTCCTCGGGGGTCTCCCCAGTGGGTGTTGTGGAGGAGTGGGGACTTGGGAAATCATGAGATTTCAATGTATTCCATAGTCAAAACTGATTAAAAACATCTCCAGGATTTTTTTTTAAGACAGGGATGGGATACACACAGAGGTAACAAATCTGTTTAAGTGGTAATATGTACTTCAGCCTAGAAGGGTGGCAGTGAGACTCTGTACACACCTTGTGGGACCACTTTGATTTCTGGACCATATGAATGCATTAATTTAAAAAGGCAAAACAAATTAAATAAAATTTAGGACATAAGCAGGGAATAAAAACCACACCCTAGAGTAAAAGCACCAGGCACAGCTACTAAGGGCTCCCAGACACTAAAGAGCTCACGGAGGAAAGAGGAGAATGGGTGGCCTGGAGCTGACCCAGGATGAGCAAAACACAGGGACAGGAAGGGAAGCCTTCATTGGGAACGCCATGACCACAGTGTGGTGGGCAGAGCCCTGTGATGAAGACCACTCCTAGGCTGACCAACCCTGGTGGCCCATGGCTCTTAGGCTGCTTCCTGTGGCTGAGGCACAGCCATCCAGAGCTTCACTGTAGGCACACAGAGATCTAGAAACAGCATCTGGGGAGGGCTGGGGGATGCACATTGTCTGGGCATAGCCTGCCCCCAGAGCCCTTGAGCTGAGCTGGGTACAGGTGATGTGCAAGGACTGGGTTCTTCTTCCTGCTGAGCCAGTCCGGGCTCAAGTACTGCTTCACAACTCTTGTTTCTAACTCACAAATCCATCCTCTCCTCAAAGAAACTCCTCCTCTATTTCCACTTTAACTTTTTGATTATTAAAATTTGAAACAGGTATTCATTTATTTAAGTGCTAAATGGAGCTTTATGTTTCAAAGATTCCATTTCCTAGAGGCTAACAAAATTAAGTTTACCCATAAAAAACTACTAAAACTCTGAGGATGACCCACTTCTACTTTGCCCAAAAAAACAAGTAAAACAGGCAAGAGTTCTACGGAAATGCAACAGTGCATTTGTGATTTAATATTACACTTTAGTCCCTTTTATGGGCTGAATTTTGCCACACTGCACCCACATCCATCAGCTGCAGTCCCAACCCCAACACTTCAGAATGTATTTGGAGATCGTGATTAAGGTAAAACAGAGTTCACTAGGATAGCTCCTGGTCTGACCTGACTGGTGTCCTCACAAGAGGAGAGGGTTAGGACATTATCCAACACAGAGGGACCACCACATGAGGACATAAGAGACAATGGTGCCTATACAAAACCAAGATTGCCAAAACCTGATCTCAGACTTCCAGCCTCCAGGACTGTGAAAATAAAGGTCTGTGACTGAAGACTAGCTGTGGAGCCTTGTTATGCAGCCGTGGTTAACTCAGCTACTAAGAAACGCTTCAATATAGTAGGCTAAACACATTCCTTATTAAGCTACAGCCTGGATCACTGCCTTCTCCAAATTAGCCTGAGTTACCCGCATTTTGAGACAGGCCCACAGTCAACCAGAGTGGTCAGCTGGAAACAACACAGGAATTTCTGCTGTGGCCTACCCCTACCGCCAGTGCTACATTTCCCACAGGCTCAGTTGGGGCCCTGAATCACTCACAAGGAAACAGCTTGCACTGTGCACAAGCAAGGGCTCCCAGATGTGGCCATGTGGTCCACTTACCTCAGCGCACACTGCACTCCTGTCTCATCTCCATAGGCTGAGTACAGAAGCTCAGTCTCATCTGATTTCAAGTCACCAAACACGGAGTTGTTCTGCATTGAAAGTGCAGTGCTGGCGCTGGAGAGGAATGTGACTAGAAGAGGGGGAAGCAAGGGAATGTCAGATCCACAGTCATTTGAAGGATCCAGCACAGCCACTGTGAGCACATCCTGCTCACAGTTTGTCCCTAGTCCCTTCTCTCCTTCTCTCTGAAGCTCCGCTGCCAAGCACAAATGCAGGAAGGAAAGCTCTGCAGGCAACCAGGAGAATCTACTCAGTACTCTGTTTCACTTCTGTGGGCCAGGGCCACAGAGCAAGAGCTGCTCATCCCTTCTGTGAGGAAGAAGCTGGGACAAGAGAAGGGCCTCCTGAAAGCAATGCGAGTCAACTCCCTGTATAGCTATCCTTATCTCAACTAGCAAAAACCCTTGTTCCTTCCTATTATTGCTTATACTCTCTCTTCAACCAAACTAGAGATAAGGGCAAAATAGTTTCTGCCTGGTAGCGAGGGGCTGGGGGGGGTAAGGAAGGGAGTGGGGAAGTAAGGGAGGGGGTGGGGGGAAGGGGGGAGAAATGACCCAAACAGTGTATGAACATATGAATATAAAAAAAAAGAAAAAAAAAAAGAGAAGGGCCTCCTGTGTCTGGGTTAGGTCAGTTATGGAGGGGGACACATAAGAGCAAATCAAACCAAGCAGTGCAGGGTTTCTTGACTTTTGTAGAGATGCCACTGTGGGCTGGGCAATCTGTGCCATGCATGTCCTCTCCTCATAGGGTGCAGTAGCATAACCTTCCCCTGCACTTTAGAGATCAAATGACCCCAGGACAGAACAGATGCAACTGAGAACCATGTCTCAAAATCAAACTGTGGAAAGAATCAACCAGGATGGAGCAGGGTGGGTAGATCACACATCACGGAAAGCTCCATCTAATGAGAGGCCTAAACACAGAGTTACAGAGAAGTGCAGAAAGAAGGAAACACTCTCAAGGGAAGTTTATGGTTTGGAGAGAACACCAAGTTGTCCCACTGCAGAGCAAATGGTGTTCACAATCAAGGTGAGACAGAACAGGAGGCAGGAGCACTTTCTACAAAGCTGCCATTGATCGCCTCCAGAGGGCAGAGGTGTAGGCAGGGGCTACAGGAAGCAACAAAGGAGACAGGAAGTGGTGAGACAGGGACACGCCATGACCTCAGAAAAGAAGTTTCTGAAAAAGCTCAAGAACACAGGCAACATTAAACTCAGGGGATGAAAATGGAAGCCCTAAAACACTTCTGGTACTTGAAAAAAGCAAGAAAAAATTTCACTGAGACACATCCAGACTCAGACCAGGGACTGCTATTATGCCTCAAGAGGAAGAAAATATCCCTCCCTAGGACACAGGGCAGGTCCATAAGGAACATCAGTTGTTCTCAAGCCTCACAACACATAAACATACACACACGTGTGCACGTCAAACTAAGCCTAATGTGCATATGCATGCTAAAACACATCTATCAAAGGAAGCCTTCCCACACAAATGTATGCACAAAACATGCACAGGCCAAAGCCAGGTTCAACACACACCTGAGCACTAAAACACACGCACAGACAGAAGCAAGCCTTCCAAGCACACAGGGCACATATGAACACATGCACATTCACACATACCCAGTAACACACTAGCAAGGTCACCACAAACATGAAACAGAACACACACAGCACACCTGCTGCTCCACACATGCAATCCCATCCACAACCACCATGCACAGGTATCCCCAGCTGCTTGGCAGCTTTGCCACTCCTCCAGATGGATGAACTGTGAGAGTCTGTGGGAAGAAATCAAAACTGCACCCTCCAACCACTGGTAGGAGTGTCCACTAGGGAAGAGCAGCTTGTCAGGAGACTGAGGAAGCTGAGTGAGATCTTCAGTCCAGAGCAGAACTCACCCAGTGTGATTTTTACCCTCATTACTTTCACTGGTCTTAATTTTGTTAGTTTTAAAACCTGAATCTAGACACAATAATAAAACTGTGAGAATCCTGGGGAAGTGGCAGTTGGTCATCTCCATTACCAGCTGCGTCTTGGCTGCCCTTGGGATCCTGCAGGCTCCTTCATGCTGCTGCACTCACCTTTGCTTCTTCTTTCATCTTTGAAGCCCAGTGTTGTAAAGCCCGGGAGCAGCTTACTGGAGAGTGAGCTCAGATCCACAGGGTGTGTCTCCTCTTCTGTGGGAAGACACAGAAATGGGTGAGCAGGCAGGGCCAGGCCCCAGCCCAGCACTGGGCATTCTCTCTAGAGCACAGCAGATATGGGGGTGGAGGGTGGGAGGTCGGGGGTGGGGTGGGGCATGACTCTACAGTGACCACTGAAAGATGAATTTACAAAAGCAAGCCATCATTTCCAACACTGACTCTATGTCACAGTTACCCCAAACATAAAAACTTCACACCTGTGGGCCATGACATTTTCAAATTGCTCACGAAACACTCCACCTTCACGTCACAATGTCACAATAGCACCACAGTGGTTCCTCCTCCCTGCACATGCTCATCTGACTGCACATGAGTCATGCGGGATGTGCTGCCATGAATGCACCATGGGTAAATCTGAATGAACTCCTCCATTCTTGATTGGAGCCTCAATCTCCTTTGCTGTCTTTCTAGCCCAAGTGTTGATCACATCATGTATTCTCACACAGAAAACACAGCCATTCACTACAGATAATGATTCAAGTCAGCTAGAGAAATTCAAACTACCCTGCTTATCTGTGGTTGGGTTAAGGAACAGAATCAGACACCATGGCCATGGAGGGGGCTGCCATGGGAGGGAGCTGCCACAGGAGGGGGCTGGGTGGAAGAACAGAACCAGGCACCATAGCCACAGAAAGGGGCTGCCTCAGGAGAGGGATGGGTGGAAGTACAGGGATGGGTGGAGAAACCAGGTATGCACAACCATGGAAGCCACTCCACCTGTGTGTGAGGTGTAGGCAAAGAGGAAGGGAAGCCTGAGTGGACCTTGGGCAGGCTTTACTCTCTGAGTGTGTCAGTGGGCATTTCAATCCCAGGGAGTCATGTGCAAGGACAGCTACTGCCCTCTTAGGGAGGTGGACAAGGGTGAGGATCCCTCCTTAAGACCACGGGACACCCAGCCAGGCTGGCGCACCCAGCACTCTGCCAAGACCTTCCCTGACCTGACCTTGGAACCTTGCTCTCTGACGCTTGAGCTTCAGGGAGCAAAGTCTAGTCCTAGCTACTGAAGGAACTCAGGAGGCTGCGGCCACTGCCCCAGCCCGACAACGCCCACAGGCTCCACTCTACATGTATGGCACCAAGAACATGTGCAGACATGGGAAGCCAGGCACTGCTTTGCTGTCCCTTTACCAATGGTGTTGGACATGGGAATGTGTCACTCAGTGTGTGTGTAAGTCACAGGACACTGTGCAGCAGCAGACATCCAGGCCCTGGGGCACCCACCATCAGCATCAGGTTCAGCTGCGTTCACCACACTGTAGAGCAGGCTCCCATCTCCAAGCTTCTTCAGGTAGCCCATCTGCAAGGAAGCAATGCCTGAGTGCTGTCCCACAGGGGACACTGTGGCCTTTCACTAGAGCACAAGTGATGTGACATGCTGGCTGACAGCCTCTAGCTTGGCTAATCCCAAAAGGCCACAGTGCCACTACTTCCTCCATGAGCAAACACCAGACACCCTCTCATGTGTCCCCTGGGACTGAGAACAGCACCCACGCGCAACATCTCAGGCTCCTTCTGATGCCTTGCAAAATGGGTGCTTTTCAAACAAAACACCTTTACCCAGATGCCAAGTTTAAAATGGTTCACAAGCTTGAACAAACTGAGATGGAGCAAGCATTGGGCCATCCGCAGGCTTAACATCTCTAAAGCACATGGGAAGTTAGCTCCATTGAACACCCACCACCCAACGCCTTGTTCTAAGGCGATCAAAAGACCCAAGCACAGGGGGTTTGTGCAAGGGCTATGTGTATGGGGGGAGTGGGGACAAGGGGCACATCAGCACAAGTGACAGAAGGAACATGTTTGTGCAAGAGCAGAGGCATGTGAGGCTATCAAAAACCTGATAGGAGAGCTGGGAATCTGGCACAACAGGGCCCTGACAGGATATCCAGGGAAACAGGTAAGGCTTTCCACTGCAGTGCTAAACTCGGAGAGAGGAGTGAAGTGGCTTGTGGTGTTGGATGAACAGAAATTCTGGTGGAGAGCAGGGTTTCCAGTAAGTGCAAACATGGGTGGGTTGATACAGATTTCCTTCTAGAAGCTGCATGTGTACTCACTGTATACACATATGGCACTCCCTGTCTCTACCTCAGAGCTTCTCACTCAGACTCTGGTTCATGGTTTCTAAATAAGGCTCTCCATGAAAGGAACCAGGTTTTCCTGGAGCAACAGCTGAGCATAGTAGGTGCAGAGCTACGCTGCCCAGCAGAACTGCCATGTAGGCCATACAGGTGACTCAACCTTCTAGTAGGAATATTTTAAAAAGCAAAATGGCAAAAACAAACCTTAAAGTTTTGCAGTGCAGGGGGATCAACCCAGAACCTTGCTCATGTTAGGCAAGTGCTCTACCCCAGATACCTCAAGGTATTTTACATAACCCAAGGTATCCAAACGTTGCCCTTTCAACCTTCTTAACTTAAAATCTGAAGTGCAACCTGAAAGGTTGACAAGCGAACATAAAGTTCTACTCAGCGTTTATGCAGACCAGTGTTGAGATGCAAGATTCTAGGCACATCAGGTCTAGTGGAACACGTTAGGATCATTTGTACTGTATTCTCTCCCTTCTGTCACAGGGGCTTGGCACTGTGTCCTGGAAGCCAGGAGGGGGGCACAGCCTTGTTCTGAGGAGCAGGCCTCGGGAAGCCCCCACACTCGGGGGCCTCAAAGCTGTTGCATCAAAACATGGCAGTGATGGTCTGAGACCAGTGGCTCAAATAGCAGCCCTCAAGCTACTGCAAGTGCACATGAAGAACTGGATGAGTGGAGAGGTGCCACCCATCTGTGGGCATCTGTGACATACAACAAAGGGCGTATAACCCTGGCGGGCAGGGCCTCCAGGGACTGCGAGGGACACAGTGGGGTCACTCACAGCTGGCCCTGACCACATGCGGGGTACAGTGAGGACACACAGTACTTCATGCTCATGGTGGCCCTGCCAGCAAAGTTCCCTAGGCTCTTTCTGAGGAAACGAGACCAGAAGACTGAGGAGCTGACCCGACTTCTGATCTAGATGCCCCTGGGATAAAGTGCACACTGGGCCCAGGTGGCGCTCTGGATAAACCCTAGTAATGGCACAGTGGTAACCTGATGGTTGTGCCTGTTGCAGAGACATTCGAGTGTTTGAGGCCAAGCGGCCACACCCTTGCAAGCAAGCTCCCGGCACTACCTTGCCGCCTGGGAGGAACCTGTTGATCCTGTCCCGAGCCTCATCAGCGGCGTGCTCTACCAGGGCCAGCACGTGCTCCTCGCAGTGCTGTCTGTCAGGCTGCAGGCATTCCCTTCAGGCTCGAACATGCAGCTGTAAGGCAGGGACACCAGATATCACCTTGAGTATGGCCCCACCCTTGCCACCAACCAGAACCTAACCTACTATTACCAACACTTCCTCAGAGAAGCAAAGGCCAGATGGATAGTGCAAAGAGGAGCTGGACCTTCCTGCTTCTCAGAGCACCCCTTTCCATTCTAGCCACAACAAATGAGATGCTGTCACCAGAGTGACATGTTTCAGCCAATTGAACCCTCTGCACTTCTCATGTCTCAGGTAAACCTCCAGTCACCTTAAGAGTAGCAAGGGAAACTCTGTGGCTTACACACATTAAAAGTGCCACAAGGAAAGTGACAAAAGTCCTCTCTGGGTAGAGGACCACACTTGCAAGCAGCGGGGTTGCTAAGCCAGGTGGAAAGTAGCCCCTGATGCTGTGCCCAGGAGCAGTCCAAGGGACTAGCTAGATTTCAGCAGTTGGCCCTGGGCTCCCCACAGAAGAAGACTTCTGACCCAAACAGTTGAGGGGTGCTGGCTCGTGGAGGTAGCCCACACCCTTGTGAAAGACAGAACAGGTGTACAGCCCCTCCCTGCCCGGGCACAGGTCTGAATAGCTAAAGAATGCTATAGCAGAGGCAGGCCCTGCCGGGAGGATATCCTGCTCTGTAATCACTGCCACTGCTATGCCCTGGAAATCCTGCTGGACTTCCAGGGCAGTTGTAAGCCATAGTCAGGGCTCCTAAGCTGACACTCAGCATGGCCCATGATTCACAACTGCCTGTGACATTGGGGACATCAGTACAGAAGCTCAGACTCTGAAATCTGGAAAAACACTGCAACTCTGCCACTCTATCAAAAACTCTCAATCCTACAGAGCAGGGTGGAATCTTAGTGCAGGATCACCTGTATCCAGGCCACTGATTGACAAGACTCTGCAATCAGAAGACCAGGCACCGTGAGGTGGCACGTATCCCTGAAGAGAGGACCACAGGGAGTGCAGTGGAAAGTTGGGAATGGCGTTAAGAAATGTACACTCACTCTGACTCTCAACTTCACAACCCTGGGCCATGAGGCCTGCAGGGTGGCATTGGGATCAGTCACCCTGCTCATTGCCAGAGGGAAGTATACAATGCAAACAGAACAGAGACCTCTGTCACCTGTGCAGTGCCCCATCGCCTATCTGTGCTACTCATGAGAATCCTACAAATGTAGCTCAAAACAGCCAGAACAGTCACATGCTAGACACAGAGCCCCCTGAAATCAACTATGATGTCTCATGGACGCTCAGCCTCCATGAAACAAGGGGACACTGTGGAAACCCTAGGTTTTTCATACAAAAAGAGGGTTCCCTGAAGGACCTTGGAAGCTATGGTCTGAAGGGTAGGAGCAGAGATCTGGGGAAGGTGCTCCCCATAGTATCCACAGCTGCCTGATACTGACCACCAGGCTGCCCTTTCCTCCAGTTCAGCATCTGTAGCAGTACAAAAGCCAGCCCAGGAAGCACTACAGAAACAAACCAGGCAGTCTGTCTTGTGGGCTCAGGTGCTGAAAGGGCCACCATGCCTCCTGTGCTCTGGACTAGAAAGAACCAGGGAAGGGTGCCAACAGGCACTGGGCACAGAGGGGCCATCCTGGAGGGAGGGGCTCATTAATATCGGCAAACATCATGAACACACACAGGAATGACCAGCTAATAGCCACTGGGCCTGCCAGCCACACCTGGGTCAGAGTATATATGGCTGGGGGGCAGGAAGGTGGTCTCAGCTCTCCTGCACCTCATGTCTATTAGTGGCACAAGCTGTTGTGACAGTGCCAGGACAGCGTGAGAGCATGTGGTGGGAGCACACCCCACCCCACAGAACTGCCCTGCTGCATCTGACATCTGCAGACCTCTATATGACATCACCTACATGACACAGTCACCTCACTCTTGTGGGCATCACTGATGCTGCCTCTCAGGACTCATGGATCCCAGGGAACCACACTCCTCCCTCCAGCAGGAACCAGCATTGAGTCGGGTCTCCCTTGTCCCACTCAGCTCGAGCATAGCCGTCCTTCTGATGGGCATGAGCTCCATGGGCAAACAGTGCTCTGGAGCCTTACCTGATGACTTCTCTACTCGGCTTTTTGGATTTCTTTGCAGTTTCTACTTGCACTGGGACCACCTCAGGAACAGGCTCCTCAACTGCTGTGTCTTCACTGCCCAAGAGAGCTGCCTGCTGAGAGAAATCCATGTCCTGCATAAACGACATGCTGCGCTTCAAAGCTAACAGCCGCTCCTAGAATCAGAAAGGACAGAGCAGCAGGACTTTACCTCTCCCTCACAGCCACGGCGCCATGACGATGGGATGGCATGGGATGGCGTCGGCCTCACCTGGCCTAACCACTACCTTCCCAGGCGCTGCATCAGGAGTGGCTGCAGGGACTTGGTACCCAGAAGTGCGGCCCAGAGATGGCAGGGGTTGGGGGCCAGAACAGTGACAGCGGAGCACAGTAGGTGGCTCTCACCTACAGGTGATGCTCATGCAGCCTGGCTCATGGATAGATCTAGAAAGCCGTGTGGGATAGCCAAGGAGGACAAGCATATGCCACCAGAGCTCAGTGAGGCTGCCACGCAAAGCAAACCCACAAGGCTGGCTGCAATCCAGCAAGACTGACCCCAGATCTGCAACTCTCCACCAAGCCTACAGAAAACATCACAACTACATTGCACAGGTGCAGGAGGGGATGGTGCCTGGAAGAGAGGGCAACCTAGAGTGGGGGTCAGCACCAGGGTCGGCGTGGTGGACGGATGGAGCATGTCATCACTGTGAGCCTGATGGCACAGAAAGTCAGAACGGAGCTCTGGCTGTCTGGCTCCTGGCTGTCAGTGGGTTCCTTACTTTGCTCATCATCTTAAAGCCCGCGTGCAGGATCTTCTTGGCTAACTTGTAGTACACAGTGTCTGGTCTATTGTAGGTCATTGCATTATCACACATCAGTTTGAAATCTGCCTGAGAAGAAGAAACAGAGAATTCATCAAGTTTGAGATGCCACAGACAACAGCAAGGTTCTTGATTCTTGTCAAAATGGGCCAGAAAGGAAGGGCTGGATTTGAGTGGAAAACTATTAAACTTGGCTTTTTCATCTTGGCTTTTTCCAGAACTCAAGAGAGACTTCCATAGCTGTTCACATCTTTACTTGAGGAAAAGTTTTCCAGTGAAAATCTGGTCAAAGTCTCTAATCGCTTTAGTGTGATACACACATTAGGGAAATATACGTTTATTCTGTGCTTCCTTCTCTCCTCCAGCCTCCTGCCCTTTCTTTAGTAGGAATTTAGACATAAACAGTAGTAAGAAATGAACTTCTGGTTCTTTTACATAAAAGTAAGGGAACTGAGTGAGGCAGGCAGTGTCTTCTACCTCTGGGGTTTTTCCACAGGAGATAAAATAAAATTCTGTCTACAGATAATTATCCAATCAATTAGAAAAACACTTTTCCTCAAAAAAATGAGAGCCTTACTGAACAATGTCCAGTAAAAGTATATTTAGAAAATTAGCGTTTAATTACCCTGACCAATTCCTCAGCATGCGCTCTCACAGATGAGCTGCAAGGAGGGAACTGAGTGAGGCAGGCAGTGTCTTCTACCTCTGGGGTTTTTCCACAGGAGATAAAATAAAATTCTGTCTACAGATAATTATCCAATCAATTAGAAAACACTTTTCCTCAAAAAAATGAGAGCCTTACTGAACAATGTCCAGTAAAAGTATATTTAGAAAATTAGCGTTTAATTACCCTGACCAATTCCTCAGCATGCGCTCTCACAGATGAGCTGCAAGGAGGGGTTTGGAGGACTGAAGTCAGCCCTCACCAAGTCAGTTTCTGGGTCCCATTGGCACTGTGCCAGCATCCTCAGGGCAGGACCAAGGCCGTGGACCCGCTGATCCTCTCTCGTTGTGGATGTGATGAGTGGCTACTGCTCACCTCATGGCTATCACTTGGGGGAATGACTACCTGGAGTCCCACAGCTCCAAACAGAGATGACCTGGGGTACAAATTAGTTAGGGAGCTGCCCTTTGGCCTCACCAAGTCTCTCCTAAGAAGTGTCCCTTCTCCTCTCTCCTTTGTCTGCTGGGTTGCAGTTTTGAGTCAGCAAATCCTTCAGTACATGTCTCCCATGAACAAGAATAGAAAAGTCAAGCTTTTCCAATCACCCAACTGTAGGAAAGCAGCCCTCTACCCCATTCTAAATACCAATGCCAACATTAGCAAGTATTCCTTCCCAACCCTGAGAAAGAAGCATAACGTCCTGTTCTAAACACCAGTAACAATGTTAGCAAGAGTTCCTTCAACATCTCCCTAGTTATAACTTGCATAGCTAAAATCAAGAAGCAGAGAGTTCAGAGCAAAGCCCTCAAGAGATAAGTATGCTAAAAATAATAAACCAAACACCTAGCTATTACAAAGACAAAACTAAAAACTCAGAAAAAAAAAAATCATGTTCCTGAAAATATCCATTCTCAAAGCAAGGTCAAATTGGACACATCACTGCCTGAAGGAACATGTCCTGTCTGTCAGCACAGTAATGTTAAAAAGTGAAACACATTTATAATAGCATGCAGCATTAAGCCCAGCTTCTAGGCCAAAACACAGAGAAAATGTCTGCAACCAACCCATTTCCTTAAGGCTGTTTGTGAACCATTGCCCAGACACAAAGTCATCAACCACAAACGCTTACAACTGGGAACAACCTGACGTTAACAGAGCGTTTAACAGATACACACAAAGAGAGACATATAAACAGTCACAGAGCTTTGCAACAATTATTTCAGAAAACAAAATTCATGTACCTTAAACTCCGTGACTGACTTGTACTCATTAGCTGCAATCTTGTCTTTCATTGTGCCAAAATCCATTGGATGTTTTATTATCATTGAATACCCAGGAGCAATTGCATCCGTGACAGGAAAAGCAAAAAATCCATGAGGATCTTTTCTGAAAGTAAAGACATCTTTGAAGTGATCTAAAATGTAGAGTTCTAAGTGACAGAGAACTCTATACAATCCAAATATTTGATGCAACTGACCAAGTTTTAAATTTGCTTTCTCTGTCGGGTTTGATTTCTGTCTCTGTTTTGCAGCACTGGGGTCTGAGCTCAGGACCTTCTGCTTACTGGGTAAGGGCTCTACCACTTTGAGCCCCACCCCCAGCCCTTTTGACTTTAGTCATTTTTCAGGTAGGTTCTTGTGTTTTTGCCTAGGGCCAGCTTCAGACTGTAATCATACATATGGCCTCCAGTGTAGCTGGGATCACAGGCATGAACCCACACCCAGCTTATCAACTCAGATGAGGTCTCACTAACTTTTTGCCTAGGCTGGCCTCTAGCTTCAAGTCTCCTGATCTCTGCCTCCCAAGAAGCTAGGATTATAGGCATGAGCCATGATGCCCAACCCTAAATTTGCTTCCTGAAAGTAAAAAAATAAGCCAGGCATGGTGGCCTATGCTTATAATCCAGCTACTTGAGAGGAGGCAAGAGGATCACAGTTAAAAGTTAGCAATAGTCTATCTCAAAAATAAAATTAAGACAAAAGGGTTGGGGGCATGGTTCAAATGGTAGAGCACCTGCCTAGCAAGCTTGAGGTCTTGAGTTCAATCTTAAAACAGCCAAAAAAGGAAAAAAGACATAAAACGATAAATTTCATGCATTTTAGTTGTGATAGATATTTAAATACAATAAAAATTACGCCACCACCACACACAATACCAAGACCTCTTTGATGCTCTGCCATCATCCTACCACAAACAACATCAGAGGTGACAGAGCTGAGAATTTCTGGCCCATATGCTCCCTGCACTGAAGCCTTGCCATGCATCTGCAGTTCATCCACTCCTACCTAGACTGGGAGTGCATAAGGAGGGTGGGGTGAGGGTGGGGTGTCTGCCCCACAGATGGGGAGACACAAGGGTTCAGACTCAAGGAGAAAGTAGAATGTCTATCTTACAGGTAGGGGATGCTCAAGATTAAGACTCCTGGAGAAGGTGGGGTATCTGCCTCACAGGAGCTGAGTAGAGGACACTCAGGTTCAGACTCCTGGAGGTAGCTGAGTAGGGGCACAAAGTTACCTCTGGAGCTGGCGGAGGAAGTGCTGCAGGAGCTGCTGCATGGGTGTGCTCTCATTCTCTGCTGTCAGTTTAAAAAGAAAACAAGAACATAAAAGTCAAATAATTCTCTGCAGAGATCTCCAAGTTCATCTGTGTGGATGGAGTTTCACAGAAATTTAAGCTCAAGCAAGAATAGAGGACACAAAGACAAATCGGACTCAGCCCTGGCTCCTACGACCTTAGGTAAAAGGTAAAGGGACTCACTGAACATCACAGGACCCAGTAAGTCAGCCACACGGGGTTGCCACAGGTCAAGCTGCCTCCAGCCCCCACCATGGTCTACACAAGGTACAGAGGAAACGAAAGTGTAGGCACCATCCCTGTGTTCCCTGGTTATTACTTCACTGTGGATTCCTCAACCTCTGGTCCTTTATAAACCAGGAACAACGAACAAACACATATCCTAGGGGCCTGTGAGGGCTGTGGTGATCACCTACATCTTTGGCCCAGTTGGCCTGACAGTGGCGTTCTGGACTGAGCATAGTGTGTCCACAGTAACATAACCTCATAACTAACCCCTGAGGTCACTGGGACTGCACTGGGTGTACATCAGGTAGACCAACTAACCAACATCAGCAACTGTGATGATCTGCAGACACAATCCTCTGACTACTACTTGCTATCTGCCCTTCCTCACCCAGCAACAGGTCTAGCAGCAGCCCTATGAGCAGATGTTCTTCACCAGAAACATGGTATCTCCTGCTGGCCCCTGAAAATTGGAGGTGGTCAAACCCAGTCAAGGGAAGAAATCCTGAAGAGAAAAATGGCCACAGAGACTGAGAGAGCATGAGCATTCCGGAACTCTCCTTTGAATGAGCCAGAATGGTCACATGGTTCCCAATGGCCTGAGTGCCTGATTCCAGAACTGGCTTCCCTCCACTCTGTCCCTGATGTCCCAAGTCCCAACACCCAGCTGCCTCAGTTTCCCTGTCACAGGATGCTACATGTCCCTAGGAGGAGACAGGCTTGCCCTAAGCACGAAGCCCCAGGGACAGTGAGTCCTGTGCAGGAAGGTTGGGGGCCATAAGTCCAAAAGGCAAGACTGCCATTTGGAAACTAGCCTGCAGATACTGCCTAGGATGAAAATTTACTGAAGACCTCCAGCTTTCTTCATTCCAGTGATGGTGACTTTAGGTGACTACAGACCTTCCATGTGGGCCTCTCAGGGCCTTCTTCACAAGGGGGACTGTCTACCTTTCCACTGGTGTGCTTGTCTCTCGTGTGACTAAGGTGTGCTATTTGGAACAGTAAGGCAGATAAATCCAAATTTCTAGAAGAAAAACTGGCAAACTTTAGCCAGATAAAAAATAGTCTAGGTCAGGTGGGCCACATACAGTTGGTCTCTGTAGCATATGCCTTTTTGTTTCTTTTCACCAATCTTTAAAAGCATTTAAAACCTTCTTAGCTCAAAAGTTAAAGAAAATCTTTTAAAGGCCACAATAACTGGGCAACCTCCTGCTCCAGATGAGGAAAAAACCTTGGATCCAGGAGACACTGGCAGGGATCCCAGGAAAGAAAGCACCAGTCCCCAAAGACAAGAGACTTCAGTCCCACTGCATCTCAGAACAAGGCACTCTGACTTTAGGAGTCTTGGTGACAGGGTCTTACCTGGCTGTGTCCGACAGGCACGCACTGGCCGATCTGGGGGTGGCTCTACCTCCACCTTCTTTCCAGGGTCAAAGGTGTCTGCTTCTCCCTCTGAATCACAGTGCTCCTTCTCCCGCTTCCGCCTCTTCTCTTCCTGTGGGGGTCAGCGAAAGGAGGGTACATGGTGCTGGGTTCACCTAAGCCAGTGCTGCAGGAGGTACACACCTCTACCTCAACCAGAGGAGACTCTCAGCAACTCCCCTCCTCTCAAGACCCACTACAGGGGTCAGCCAAGGAGTGATGCCTGAGGAGCCCAAAGCTGCACAACTGGCCTGAGCTTTCCTGAAGTTGCAGGGACACACGTGTGCTCTGGGGCCCTGCTCCCCTTACCTTCCGCTTCCTTCTTTCCTCATCATCAAGGTGCTTTTCCTTCTCTGACTTCTTCTTCTTTTTCTTCTTCTTTTCTCTGTGTCTCTCCCGCTCATGGTCTGACCTGTCATCGTAGTAGCTGGAGTCGTGGCCAGAACCTGAGAGCTCGGTCACTTCACTTCCTCCCACCTTCAGCACCAGCTTCAGAGGCTTCTCCAGCGGTGTGTCTGCATAATCTGCACACAAACCGGGTTGGGGGGGGGGGGCGGGGCGGGGTCATCCCATGCTAGGGCAAACCATACCAAGGCCCAAGAGCTCGGGAGACTGGTCTGAGGACAGCAGTCACTGAAGCCTGAAAAGGTGAATGGCCAAAACAGCCACTGACAAGAAGAGTTACTCCCTCCTAAACACATGGTCACTGAGGTTATTCAACAGGTCTTTCCCCCTGCTAAGACCCCATATTCTTCCCCAAAGCTCCTCCTTATACCGCTGGCACAAGTCCTCCTGGGGCACACAGGAGGGGCAAGCAAGGACAGAGCATCCCCAGCAGGGATGCTTCAATGGGAGGTGGCCCCTAGGCTTGCCGCAGAACGCTGGATGCCCCCTGCCCAAGCCTCGGCCAGGACCCCGCTCCACCACCAAGGCCCTGCCCTTCCCCCTCCCCTCCTCATCCTCTACCCCAGAACCCCCCGCCCAGGCCCCTCTCCTCCGCCTCCTGAACCCCAATCCCCATTCCCTGCCTGGAAACCCCATATCCCGGACTTCCCTTCCCCGGGGTCCCGCCCCCCACCCAGGCCTCTCCCCTCCATTCCCGAGACCCAGCCCTCTCACCCTGAGCCCCCCATCTCACCCTGAGCCCCCATCTCACCCTGAGCCCCCATCTCACCCTGAGCCCCCATCTCACCCTGAGCCCCCATCTCACCCTGAGCCCCCCATCTCCCTCCAAGCCGGGGACCTCCTCTCCCCGGGCCCCGCCCCCTCGGGGGCCCCGCCCCTCCCCCGGGCCCCCTTCCCCGGGCTCCGCCCCCGAGACGTCCACCCCGGGCCCCGGGCGCCGCACCTTCGTAGGACGAGCGCCACTCGGCCTTGTGCTTTTTGTGTTTCTTGCCCATGGCGGCGGCAGCGGTGGATCCGCGGAGGCGCGGCCGCCCAGGGACCGGCCTGCGCCCGCCGGAAATGGTCCTGCGGCCGCCGGGCACTTCCGGGTCAGAGGTTGGCGCGCCGCGCGCGGCAGATTCGAAGCGCGGCAGGGCGGGGCGGCTGTGAGGCGGCGGTGCAGGCGGCGGCCGAGGAGGCGGCAGGGGGTGTGGGGCGGCGGCGGCGGCCTCGCTCCGGCCGGGTCCCCGCGAGTCTTGGCGGCGGCGCCATGGACGAGGCGGTCGGCGACCTGAAGCAGGCGCTGCCCTGCGTCGCCGAGTCGCCCGCGGTCCACGTGGAGGTGCTGCAGCGCAGCGGCAGGTGGGCGGCGGGGACCCGAGGCCGGCCGGGGACTTTCCGGGGCGCGCGGTGGCGGGTGGGCGGGGGGCCTCAGTCTTGGGATCCAGGCTTCCCCTGGTAGCAGTGATGGCCGGCGTCTTGGCTGCTTGGCCTGCCAGCCCGGCCTAACGCTGAATGTCGTCCTGATCTTCAGAGTGGCCCCGATCCCGGGAACCTAGCGCCACCTTCCCGAGCAGGTTCGGACGGAGGGCGGCCTCCTGGGCCCCCAGGCAAGAGCTAGCCCTAGATTTGATCCTGGGCCGGTCCACTGCTTTGACTGATGACTTTCTTAGGGCTAGTCCGAGTTTTTGAGAAATGCTTAGTTTTGAATGATGCTTTAAACGGACTTCTTCCGTGTGTTTCCTTTTCTAGCACTGCGAAAAAAGAAGATATAAAGCTGAGCGTTCGGAAGCTGCTCAACAGGCATAATATTGTGTTTGGAGATTATACCTGGACCGAGTTTGATGAGCCTTTTCTGACCAGAAATGTGCAGTCTGTGTCTATTGTTGACACGGAATTAAAAGCTAAAGTTCCTCAGGTAACTTTCTCAGGAACACTTAGTGCAAAGTCCGGAGTCACAAAAACTGCTTTGATGGGGTATTCCCTGCTTATCTGTTGGTTTGGGTGACTTAGACAAGCTCTGGCTGTCCTCCTTGCAGCCAGGTGCTGGAGTAAGGTGTGGCCTTGCTGTCTGTGTACTTTCAGCAAAGTGAGGACAGATCACAATACAGGGTTGTAGGTTAGGGCTCTGTGCTGACAGAGGCCCAGTGCGTCTCCCACTGTCAGTCAGCAGGTATTCGTAGGCTGCGCAGTGAGTGGGTCGGGACTGTGGGAAGTGTGGTGTTACAGAAATGAGGAGACGGGCCTGCCTTGCAGAGGCCCTTCATCAAGTCCTGCACACACACTGCCTCGCTCACCATCTTCCTGAGCTTGTGTGTGGCAGTTAGGGGAGCTTTGTGTGAAAGCAATGGAAACACCGAGACAGACTATCACTAGTGTAAAAAACACTTGGAGATCTGCATCTCCATGTGCTACACAGTTCTTGCCTTATGAAGAATTGATTATGAGGGCTGAATGCGTCTCAGTGGTAGAGTACTTGCCTAGCTTGTGCAAGGCTCTGCATTGCAAAAAAAAAAAAAGTAAAATAAAGAATTGGTTTTAGACTGTAGACTTGACCCTAAAATTTTTGTTTGTGACATGGATCTCCTCATTGATGTTAAAACTAACAGTTGTGTCATTGAATTTTATCCATGCTAAGATCTGATACCATCATGGATGCTTTGGCTAGCCTGAGGGGAAAGGACAAGCTTCCATCACTGCTGTGGAAAACAGATAGCACAGCTTGCACACAACTGGGGTTGGCTGTGAAAAGTTTTAATGATCTCAGATTATCTGGCACATTGTCCCAGAAGAGCCCCAAACACACTGCTATGATCTCCATTTGGGTAAGCTCAGGATCCAGTCAAAGAGAAGAAACGACACAGTTCTATGAACAGGAACAAGTAGGAAGGATTGATTAGTACTAAATAAAGATAACTTTGAAGAACATATTGTAATATTAGCCATCTGCAGCAAACCTAACATTGCATAAAATTATACGTAGTAGCCATTGTCCCTCAGGCAGCATGTCCACACTGATGTCTGTTCAACTTGTAGGTTGTCTTTTCTCACTCATGTTGTGTCCCTGATTCTTGCTGTGACACGTGGTTTTCTCTTAAATCCTAGATATTTGATATGTTAAGTTAAGAGACACTATGTCCAGTTTTTTTAAGCAAGCAGTCCCTCAGCTGAGGACCAAGTAGATGAGTATATAGCTTCCTACAGGGTGCTGCTGACCACACACTAACAGAAGTGGGGCACTGACTCACTATTCCTTGAAGTCATGGGGTGAAAGGGTGTACAATAGCTCCCACCTCTGAGTGGGAGTGTGCAATCAGCTAACCAACTCCACAGGGGAGTATGCAATCAGTTCCCACCTCTTAAGTGGAACCTCTTAAGTGGGAATCCACAGTCAGCTCCCACCTCTAAGTGGGGGTTCACGGTCAGCTCCCCATCTCTAAGTGGGAAGGATGATCAGCTTCCCACCTTTGATTGCGAGTGTACAATCTTAACTCCCCACCTCTGAGTGGGGGTTGCACAATCAGCTCCCCAGAAGGCCCACTTTCACTAAGGGGAGGGAAGAGAAAGCTGCCCCAAACTGTGTTCAGTTAGTCAGCTGTGCCCAGCTCCCACCTTGTCCTGCCATGTTGATACGGTGAGGGAGGGAAGGCTCAACTGCTCTTTGGGGGACCCCAGTATTCTTCAGTGAAAGAGACCTGGGTTTCGTGGATGCATAGTTAACTCTAGAGGTAGGGAGGCAAATTAACAGATAAAACTGGATCATCTTGTAGTATCAGAAAGTTACAAACACTCAGAACACAAAATATGAGGATATGTCACAGGAAAGTAGGAGCTGACCTGAATTAGCCCCCAATGGCTCAGTCTGGAACAGTTGTAGTGAATGAGCGAGCTGAGTGAGTAATGCCTTCTCAAACATCAATATAAAGTGGACATAGATGAGTTCATAGAGATGTAAGATGAAGGCAAAGATGAAAATATTCTATAGGATATCTCCAAATAATAGGTGTAGCTCCCTGATATGCCAGAAGGAATGGTATGGCCGAGGTCAGAGGGTTGCACACCCCTTCATTTCTGCATTATTTTTTTGAAGCTCATCCTAATTTTGAGAGAAAATGACATATTTGATAATTTCAAACTGAAAGGAGGAAAAAAGAAAAAGGAAACTATGCATAGAAGAACTCAGAGGTCAGAAGTGTGTGAGTGCATCATCTTTGAGGTCTTCATCCTGTGCTGTTTGCATTTTTCTCGACAAGCACGTGTTAGTTTGCAATTTTTTTTTAAGTGGAGGTTTTTGGGAGGGGTGGACTGGGGTTTGAACTCAGAGCTTAGCTCTTGCAAAGCAGGCACTCTACTGCTTGAGCCACACCCCCAGTCTACTAACTAGTTACTAACATACTATGCCCTGAAGTCTACTTTTGAACTTCAGCATCTAGTGTGTATAGCTGGAACTAAAAAGGGAGACAGTTTGAATTGTGTAGCTTTATTTGCTCTTCCCTTTTCATCAATAGCCTATTGACTTGAGTGTGTGTACCGTCGTACTTCACATCTTCCAGTTGAATGAGGATGGCCCCAGCAGTGAAAATCTGGAGGAAGAGACAGAAAATATAATTGCAGCAAATCACTGGGTTCTGCCTGCAGGTATGGAGCACCACTTTTGTGGGTCTGGCTGAAGGTGGCCGAGCTCACTGGGCTCTGTGTACAGGTACTGAGCACCAATCATGGTGTGGTATGGCCAAGGATGGTTGAGGTCAGAGGGTTGCACACCCCTGATGCTTGCCAAGCCAGGTCACTAAGGAGATTCTGTTCATTAGTTTTGTAGGATTTTAGGATGTTTCATCTCTTATGAAATGAAAAGTATATCATTGTGTTAATCACCCTTTCCATTACTATAGCAAATAGTTGAGATAGATAATTGGCTTATAAGAAGTTTGCTTTGGCTCATAATTTTAGAGGTTTTAGTCCAAACCAGTGGCCCTATTGCTTTGGCACTATGGCAAGGCAGTATATCATGGGGGGTGTGTAGCAGAGGAAGCTTGTTCATTTCATGGTCGGGTACAGCAAGAGACCTTGTATAACTGTCCCCTTTAAGGACAGTCCCATATGACTTAAAACCTCCCACTAGACTCAGCCTTTTTAAGGTTCCACAGCCTCTCAACAGTACCAAGCTGAGGACCATGCGTTTACACAGGGCCTTCGGGGGGCTCTCCAGATTCAAACCGTAGCAGTTACAAAAGGAAGACATATCCAGAACGAGACTGTGTTGTTCCTGCATTGGACAGGCATTTCAGAGATGGTAGCCAACTTAGAATGCGGCCGGTGCTCCCCTGCCCAGCTGGTCCTCTTGCTCAGCTGTCTTAGCAGGTGGAATCATTTGTTAATTCAGTTACCAGGTTTTATGGCTCAGCCTGCCATGTGGGGAGAGCTCACGTTAAAGATGATTGTGCGTGGTAACATGACTGACAGAGAAATTCTGTTACTTCACTTTAGCCATGTGACTGGCCTTTGCTTTGTGTTTTTAATTTTAATAAAAATTAAAATTTGAAGAAAACTGCACTTCAGAATCTTAGTCTACAGCTGTGGAGCAGTGAAAGTCATCAGGGGCTTGGGGCAGACCTGACCAGCAGGCATGTGCTTGCTTTCTAAAATTAGGGCTTTATCTTTTTCTCTGTCACAGCTGAATTCCACGGACTCTGGGACAGCTTAGTGTATGACGTGGAAGTCAAATCACACGTAAGTTGCTGTGCTTTTCCTCACAGCACCCAGCCTTTGTTACAGTACTCTTCAGCATCTCTTAGCTCTTGACTCAGATGGCTTTGGGGAACCCCTCTCCACAGCAGCCCATGTCCTAGGTGCCTGTCCTGCAGGGGGTTGGGGGGACCCAGTAGGATGCTGGTCTGAGCAGTTCTCTGAGGGAAGGATAAAGTAAGATAGCTTACTTTGAATTTCATTCTCCCTCAAGCCCTCTGGGCTTAGGTAGGCCCTGCTGAAGGAGGCAGAAGGAGAAAGGTAGGCAGGTCCGGACTAGGACCCATGCATCACTCCTTCTGTGGGCCATGCCCAGAGACTGGCTCACCTCAGCAAGGTGGCTCCCCGACTCCCACAGTGTGGTGTGCAATGCTGTCCAGAAGAAGGAGTGTACTCCCTGATAAGTACCTGAGCTGTGTCTTCAGTGCTGGCCTGACAGTGAAGGTGGCCGCTTTGTAATAGCCAGCACTTACCCGCTTACCTTTTTTAAGATGCCTTCAAGAATGAAAGCCTCTGACAATCCCTTCAGAGGTGGCTGCCCTCTCCTCTTTCTATTTAGAAGCAAGCTCTAGCAGCATGCTTAGAGTGAATGTTTGCCTTGGCAGTACCTTCATCTGTTTTGTTTTCATGTCAGCTCCTTGATTATGTGATGACGACATTACTGTTCTCGGACAAGAGTGTTGACAGCAACCTCATCACCTGGAACCGGGTGGTGCTTTTGCATGGTAAGGTGTGAGGGGTCTTCTCTGACAAGATAAACCACACAGAATTGGCTTCTGCTGTGTCTTTGTCCTTCTGGAGAGAGTTACAGCTCCATTTTCTGAAGGATCCAGAAGTATCCAAGAACATTCCTTTTCTGTGACATTGACCTAGTTCACACATTCATGCTTAGTACCTGAACCTTTGTTTGGCAGTGACTGGTTTTTGCCTTGTGACTTTTTTTTAAATATTATCTTATTTCCCCAACTGATGACTCTTTAGGATGGAAAATGTCTCGTATTTTCTTTGTAGTATTCTCAGAGCTTCACTGTGTGAGGGTAGAGTACAAAAGCCATAATTTTAAAGAAATTCTGTCAGGTTCTTAGGAAAAAATATTGGTTGCTTGGGGTTTTTTTTTTTCCAATGTCACTGGATGGAAAGATGAAGACATTAAAGTTAGGAGAGAACTCAAATTATAGCAAGGGAGAATCTCAGCGTAATTAGCCTCTTTGTGCCAGTTAAGATTGGGTGACTGTCCATGATCTTTAAAAAAGTGTCTTTTACACAGCATATATCCCAGCATAGCAAACCCAGAGAAGATAATTGGTTGGTATTTTATTTAATAAATTGCTTCCTGTTTAGAATCAGGTATGTATTTCCTTCATCACTGGAAATTATACAGAATGCCAGGTTGGATGTGTCTCCATGTTCTGCTGCTACATCCCAACCCACCCCCACTCAGCACATTACAGGGCACTGTGGGGGGACTCAGAGTGGCAAGAAGAGCCCGCAGGGCACTGTGGAAGCTTGGAGTGGACAAGAAGAGCTGGCAGGCGGCTTGGGGTGGATAAAAAGATCTGGTGGGGCCCTGATAGGGGGCTCGGTGGACGAGAAAGAGCCCTAGCATATGCTGCTGTGTGCCAGCTTTCCATTACCATAACAAACACCTGAAATAATCGACTTTACTTTGGGTCAGTTTGGGAGGTCTCAATCCATCATCATTTAGCCTTGCCATTTTGGACATGCAGAGGCAGCACATCGTGGCTGGGAAGGAGAAAAAGGAAGAGCTCAGGTCCCACAGATCCACCACCTCCCAACCGCACCTTTATGGAGAACAAGCCTATAGTATGGCCTTTGGGGGATTCTACAGGTCCAAACTAGCTCTTCTGATCTTATATGGGTGCAGACCCCCTTAGGATTATCTGTTGTGAAAGACAGCAACAATGACAGCACTACAGGAATAAAGTCCTGGCAAGGTGGCGCCCTCCACCTCCATTTACCAAGAACGGTTCACAGAGGAAATGTGAAGACAAGGGCAGGCATCAATGAGGATAGATGTCACCAATATGTAGGCGAGAAAGTGCAGTGTGTTTGCCCATCATGCTGAGAGGGGTTTGGTGGTAACAGGTATAGCCCAAAGTAGTAAGAAAGAGGAAAGGCTTTTAAAGCATGTTGGGAATGTTTCACAGCCCCTAAGCTGTGCATTAGCAAGTTGTATTTACTGTAATATTTATAACACTGAACTCTCTTCCTTAGTTTATGTTCTGTGGATAAAGGCAACTGATGTTGTTTTAAGAAATATGACAACACTGGCTTAAACATGTGTGCTTGGCTCTCATTACAGGCCCTCCAGGAACTGGAAAGACATCCCTGTGTAAGGCATTAGCCCAGAAATTGACCATCCGCCTGTCCAGCAGGTAACTTGGGTGACCTGAGAGAGGATAGCAGCAGAAATGAGACCTGTGGTGTTTAAAAACTCTTGTGTCTCAGCCAGTTTACATGAGTTGTAGGTCCCTCTCCTTCAAATATCTCCTTGTTCCTCTGCTTCCAGCATGGTCTCCAGTTTGATTCAGTCTCACAAAGTGCACTGGGCCTTGGGTGGCAGCAAAGCCTGTCCCAGGGCACTTGAAAGCCGTTGTTTGCTCAAGGGTGGAATGCTATGCAGTGCAGACCTGATGCTCATGGCCTTGCTGGCTTTCTCATTTACTGGGAGAGGAACACTGAGGTCTCTGTGGTCTTGTCTGCTTCTCCTCAAGTTCTGTTTTAGGGCTTATGGTTTTCGTCACATTTGGTAAGAACTGGGTTGTTACATGTTACTTGGGAGTCCGTTTATTTGTATGTAAGAGTACTTCATACTGTTCCACAGACCTCTGATGGTCTTTCTCTTTTTTTTTTTAATGTGCTTGGGTTTGTTTTGGTGGGGAGTGGGGTGGCGAGTAGTACGGGGGTTTGAACTTACAGCTTTGTGCTTGTTAGACAGGCACTCTACCACTTGAGCTGAGAGTCCAGCCCATCTGTTTGAGTTTAAACGGTTTCTATTGCCTCATCTTCAGTTTCATTTTTTCTGCGGTGTCTTACTGTTTTTTTTTTTTTATTCCATTTGGTGAAACTTTTATTTCTATAGTGCATTTTTCTTCCTTGAAGATTCTATTTGGTTCTCTTTTTACTTTTGCTTTCTCTCCTTATGTTCTTGTTAAAATGCTGAACAAGTTTGTCACAGTGATTTTAATGTTTTGCCTAACAATTGCATCATCATCATTATTTCTGTTTCTTTGGCTTTTTTCCTAGTTTGGGGTCACATGTTTCTGCTCCTTGGCATATCTGCTGATTTGAGGTGTCTAGATTTTGTGTCTTTCTTTGACTGGCATTTCAGCTACTTATGGCTGGTGTGGTCCTTTTGAGGTTTGTTCTGAAACTCCGTGGGGAGGGGTCCAGATTCAGACTTGTCTTGGTACTGGCGTGTGTTCTGCCTGGGGTCCCAGCAGAACCACATTCAGCTCACAAATGTAACATATGGCCCCTCTTGTCCCAGCTTTGTGGAATCTCCCTGCTCATATGCCTTAGTATTCAGCAGAGACACAGGCAATGCTGGTTTCCAGGATTTATTCCCTGATGTCCCCTTTCCCTGTGGAGCTCTGCCCTGTAGCCTCTAGTCACCTCCAACTCCCTAAACCCTGACCTAGGTACCCTCAGTTCTGGGAGGTAGGTGCTGTCCTGGGTTCCCTCAGCACTGTGACTAGAAAGTCCCTGGACAAAAAGCCAGTGGAGCTCTTTCATTTCCCTTCTCTTGGGGCTCACAGGCCTTTGCAGCCAGGTGACATGTCATTGATTTTTTTTTTTTTTTTTTTGCCTGTTTACTTATGGTGGCGTGTGTGCTGATCCCAGGAGGTGGAGCAGAGTCTGTTGTAGACTTGAGTTGGCCAGCAGGTGCTCAGGATCCTGAGGACCCCAGAGCTCAGGATGCCCTGGAATAGAGTTGTCACTCTCTTTAGGGTTCTGTGGAAGGAGGGGGAAAATACGTAGCTTCTGCCAAAATCTCTTGATGCTTGTATTATGTCTGCTATCCTAATGCACAAAGCTGGGGACCTCGACTTTGCTGGCAGTGGTGTGGTGACTTAGTTGGTCCCAGAATGTGGGCAGTGGAAGGTGCTATGTTGAAGCAACACAAGTGCCTGCTACTGAGATCAAGTGTTTGCTCACCTCCATTCTTGTTGTCCTAGGTACCGGTATGGGCAATTAGTTGAAATAAATAGCCACAGCCTGTTTTCTAAGTGGTTTTCAGAAGTAAGTATTAAATGTTCTCCTTGTTGGGATTGTCAAGGTTGTCACTGAAAAACAATGTACTGTATACTAGGCACAACTCCAATCACAGAGCTTCTGGGAGAAGTAGGTGAAATGAGAAAGTGACAGTGGGGTTGACTTTGTGGCTAGAAGAGGACTCAGGGGCGGTAGGGTTGGAGAGTGACTGGAGACCCTCTGGTCATGTTGTCAACTTCCAACTGGGTGGACAAAACATTCTGTAGGCATTTAGCAAACAGCAGGTCCTGCATTCCCACGAAGACTGTGCCTTCTGCCAAGCAGCCCCTGGGCTTACTCCATGTCCGTGAAATGAGGGTCCCACGGGGTGGCGTTCTGGGTACTCTTCACCTCTCAAGGCTGTGTGCCCAGGACACCCTGTGTCAACATGTCCCTGTGGTGGTGTCCAGGCAGGGCACAGGCAGTTGGGGACACCTGTGAAGAGTACAGCTGGCCAGCTTGCCCGTTGCCATGTATGATCTTGTTCCTGGTTGTGAGTTCACAGGTGACCAGAAGTGGGATCCATCTGTGCTGTGCCATGCTGAGCAGAAACAGATTCAGACCTGGGGCTCAATGTCCTGATATAGGAAGCAATGAGGGAGAGCATTTGGTGTGTTGGCCTGGCTCTTTGGAGCTGGAGAGTCTTCTGAGGGGCCATCAGGTGGTAGTTTTGTGGGGTCCCCTAGGGTTGCAGGCCCTGGTGGTACCAACATGCATCTGTAGCGTGTTGGTGCTACTCAAGGGTGTTTTGGTTCCAGAGTGGCAAGCTGGTGACTAGGATGTTCCAGAAGATCCAGGACTTGATTGATGATAAAGAAGCTCTGGTGTTTGTGCTGATCGATGAGGTAGGCACTTGCAGCTAGTCAGCTGGGCCTGAATTGTCTGCTGGGTGCTATCTGCCTGCCCCCCACCCCTCCATCCTGCTGCTGTCTGCTGCTCTCTGTGCTGTAGGATCCTTACCCCTCCCCCAGGTTCCCCCAGTCATGGAACTCCTGGGAACAGGAGGCATGTGCATACCTTCTCACACTTTGATTCATTTGATTGACACAAGCTGTGACTGCCCTTAAAGTGCTAGGCATCATCCTTTCCGACGCATTGCTCTGTCCCCACAGGTGGAGAGTCTCACGGCTGCTCGAAGTGCTTGCAGGGCAGGTGCAGAACCATCTGATGCCATCCGTGTGGTCAATGCTGTCTTGACCCAAATTGATCAAATTAAGAGGTAACACTGGGATAAAAGCAAGACTTTACATGAGAGGTGACGGAGGACAGCTATGATAATCACAAAGTTTACATCTCATTCATGGCTCTTAAAGTACATTTGGCATTGAGCAGTGTCTGGTGGAGGCCCTGTTTCCACAGATCCTCAGCCTTGTCCACAAGCAACAATGCAGGGGCAGCTGGTCCCTCCAAGCTGTTCTTCTCACTTCCCTGCAGGCGTCTGCACAGCCTGTCTGAAGCCTTCTGGATGTGTGTTCTTAGAGTGTCCCTGTCCCCTCCAGCATTCCTCAAGACTGTGGTCAGTTCCCTCATAGTCTAGGCATTTTGGCAGGCTTGCTCCCTGCTTCTTATTTGAGCCTTGAAACTACACCTACCGGAGTTCCTCATTACACTGATGGCCTCCCCATACACCTAACTGAGTCCCTGTTATTTCATGGCCTCCCACACACCCACTGCTCAGAGGAGATCAATTTCTCCTTCCCATCAGTCCATGGGGATTTGGCTCAGAAGCGAGCAGAGAGACACATCCTCTGTGTCCCTCTTTCCCTCGTTCCCTCCTAGTGCCTCAGGCTTCTGGCTTAGGCCCTGCCTGGATGACTTCATCTGTCCTCCACCAGCCCTGTCCATTCCTACCTCTGTGTGGACTTGACTGTGCTTCCCCTTCTTATATTCACCATGTCAGCCCCCAGGTTGTGATTCAGCCTGGGGATTCACCTGACTTCAACTGCTGGGTACCTCTGTCTGGCACCTAGGACCCTGTGCCCTCTTCAGTTGGCTCACTCCTACTCACCTGGGAAGGAGCTGTCCATAGTCTAGGTGAAACTGTCCCTTGTGCTCCCCTGGTTGCAATGTGCCTGCCCCACCGTCAGCCCAGGAGGGCAGTGTAGCCACACCCTCTTGAACTGGACTGTACAGGCCAAGAAAACGCCCTGCACCTACTCTGCTGTCAATGAGATGGTAGACAGACCAGGCAGCAGTGCTGCCTCTGGAGTTTGGAAGCCAGAAAGGGAAGCAGATAATTACCATGATAAGTCTTTCCGCTGCACAGTAGTTCCTGGATGATAAGCCCTGTGAATTGAGCAACAGACAGGACAGTCAGGGATGCTGCACAAATGCTAGGTCTTTCAAGTTGAAGGAGGTGAGAGAATAAGTCACATGGAGTCTAGGAGGCTTTCTACAACCAAAAGAGCAGCCACAGCCTACATACTGGGAAGAGTCTGTTCAGCACAGTCATATTGCCACCAGCGGAGCCCCACTCAGAGGTCTGAGACCTCAATAAAACCAGGCAAGTCTGCCAGGAAGTGGCTCTGGCACAGAGCACAGCCATCAGAAGGAAGTAGGCAAGCCCTTCTTCCACCGACAGACCTCCTACTGGCTGTCCCTCCTGCCCATCCCCCTGGTCAGGTAGGAGAGACCATGACTGAGTCCTTTGAGCACACAGTGACTGTGGTCGTTGCTGTTGTTCACAACAGGCATTCCAATGTGGTGATCCTGACCACTTCCAACATCACTGAAAAGATCGATGTGGCCTTCGTGGACAGAGCTGATATCAAGCAATATATAGGGCCACCCTCTGCAGCAGCCATCTTCAAAATCTACCTCTCATGTTTGGAAGAACTTATGAAGGTTGCCTTTGTTTTTTTTCCTACTGATCATCTCTAGATTTCTTTTATGTCCCTCGTTTATTGGTGTATCTTAAAACAAGTAAGTTCTGATGTATAATACAGCACTTCAATGTAGGCATTAACTGTCTTCTTACATTGAAAGTAGTTTTGTGTCTAGGAGGTTCAGGCAATGATCTAAATTATGACTACTGACTCAGTATCTGCATTTTTCAGTATCTGAGGTACAATATGTAGAGGTTAGTGAGTGGGCTGTGGTCAGCCTGCTGGGCACATCCTGGTTCTGGACCTGTTTGACCTTTATAAATGACCTGCCTGTGGGCCTAGATTTCCTTAGCTGGAAAGAGGAAGGACAGTGACAGGTTTGGTTCACAGATTATAGTCCTGTGGACTATAGTTTGACTGAAGGTCATAGTTGATGGGGTATCACCTGACTCAAAGTCATAGTTCACAGGTGTCATCTGACTGAAGATTGTATTTCACAGGATTGTTGTTCACTGGAGGTAATGGTTCACAGGTCTGCGTCTAACATCCCAGCTTTTGAGCCTAGAGTACAGGGAGCCTGGGCGGTGACCAAGTGAACCAGTGAGTGGGTATTTACAGTGATGACTGTCCCAAAGCCACTGCCTCACATGTGGGGCCTTGACTTTAGGGCTTGTGATCTGAGGAGATGTTCTAATCACAGCTTTGTCATGGAGGAGTGCGGAGTGATACAGTCCCGCAAGGAAGCTGGTTGTGTTGAAGGTCATCAGGCATCTTTGATGTGGTCCTCAGCTCTTGCAGTGTGACATTTACCACTTGGGCTGTGAATGTGGGGGACGTTCTGAGGTATAATTTAGAGGTGCAAACTTTTTCTGGGAGCTGAGAATGCAAGGAAGTTCCTCAATTGGGGCAGTTCATACAAAATTAAGACATTGTAGTGGACACTGGGACTGTCCTAAAGCTGTTGGTGAGTAACTGGGTCCTTCTGTGTCACCTGAATCTGGGCCCTCGTCACACGTGCCTGCCTGTGCAAATTTGTCTGGAGGGCTGAGCCCAGCAGGGGCCAGCAAGGGCCCTAATGAGTCAGGTAGGAAGGTTGGAGCACAGAGCACAAACCCTGTTTACTTACCACAGCCCTTACCAAACCTCCAGAATGTGCAGAGTGAGGTTTCAGTTTATGATTTGGTTGTGGAAATGGTCAGTGTTCCACCTGACAGTTCAAGCAGCTGACCTGTGAGGGGACCTCTGGGACACTGAGAGTGGGCTCATTTACAGTCCCTGAGTGTGGGGGAGACAGTGAGGGTGGGCTTGTTCACAATCCCTGAGTGTGGGGGAGACAGTGAGAGTGGGCTTGTTCACAGTGCCTGAGTGTGGGGGAGACAGTGAGGGTGGGCTTGTTCACAGTGCCTGAGTGTGGGGGAGACAGTGAGGGTGGGCTCGTTCACAGTGCCTGAGTGTGGGGGAGACAGTGAGGGTGGGCTCATTCACAGTGCCTGAGTGTGGGGGAGACAGTGAGGGTGGGCTCATTCACAGTGCCTGAGTGTGGGGGAGACAGTGAGAGTGGGCTTGTTCACAGTGCCTGATCTTTTGAGTGATTGCTGCCCAGCATCAGCCATTGCTGTTTACATTACCTTTCAGGTGCAGTGTCTTTTGCTCACAACACTGTACCAACTTTATAGGCTCTGCTGTAACTGCTCGTGCCTCTGTCTTCCAGTGCCAGATCATATACCCCCGCCAGCAGCTGCTGACCCTCCGGGAGCTGGAGATGATTGGCTTCATTGAGAACAACGTATCAAAGCTGAGCCTCCTCTTGAGTGAAATTTCAAGGTGTGAATCAGCCTCATTTTTGTGACCAAGGAAAATCTATTTCCTAAAGCAGTGGGATATTGTTTTCTTTGGAGGCCAGGGAAGGCCTGGGAGTGAGCTCTCAACACAACAGCAGTGTGCGTGCCTGAGTACATATGTGCATTCCTGTGTGCACAGAGACGCACAGCCTCTTCCCAAAACACATGTCACACCTGAGCACTAACAATAGCTAGGATGGGCACCAGAAGCCAAGAACAATAGAAGGGAAATGCTGAGGGAGATGGCCTTGGTGACTTAAGGGAAGCTGAAGGGCAGGCAGAGCCATAGAACAGCCAGACCAGGCACAGTGCAGAGAAGTCAGGATGGTCTCAGAGACCAGTGTGGTGGCTGGGAGAGTCTTGGGTTTCTGGCCAGTTTGAACTTTGAGGCTGTGAGGGTCATGGAAGATTTTGAGTGAGGAATGCAGTGGTTTGGATTATCTGTAAAGAGACTTAAGTTGGTGAAGATGAGGAAAACAGCACAGAGATTCCTGCAAAAACTGAAGACATAAGCCAGTCTGGTCATTTGGGGACTCTCCAGGTGGCCACTTGCCATAGACATCATACCTCACCTGGTGATTCCAGGCAGGTGCTGGAGCTACTGTACAAGGGCCAGAGTGGTAGGAGACCCTGTCCTGGCCCAGGGTGGGTAGAGGCTTGCGCTTTGTGGTCATCTCAGCTGCTCTGTAGGTTCAGGTTTCAGTAATGAGGGAATTTGTCCTGAAATACACAATTGTATGAAGTGTATGTCCCTAAATATTGTTCTTTTACAGGAAGAGCGAGGGTCTCAGTGGCCGGGTCCTGAGGAAGCTGCCTTTCCTGGCCCATGCACTATACATCCAAGTGAGTCTTGAGCACTGTCCTTGGTCACCCGTGCCCAGCTCCCCCACCCTCCCTGGAATTCCACTTGATAGCATCAGCATGCCAACCTCACTTTATCTCAATTTCTAAAATGGCAGGGTCCTGCGGAGGAGGTGCCAGTGCCACATGTCTGCTTATGAGTGCACACAAGTACACATACTCACAAGCACGTTTGTGTCTGTGGTGTGAGATCTTATGTCCAGTGCCTGCCCTGGCCTCTTCCCCTGGCTCTCGCCCCATGAATCTGGGCTCTGCTCACACAGAACAGTGACCTGGGGTCATGCCTTCACCTGCCCAGTGGCAGACCCCCAGCACAGGCCTGTCAGTCTAGGAGGCTCCTGCCCCTCCTCCCCTTGCCAGCAGTAGGTCCACGGTGGAGCTCTGGGAGTAGAGCAGATCTGCTAACATCAGAGGCCAGAAAATATGCATCTGAAAATGGTTCTTTTAAGTCAGTGGCCTGGTGCTTCACTCGGTGCTGAGGTGACATAACTGGACCATGAGTGAGGGTTGTTTGACAAAGGAAGAAGAGAGCTCAGGCGCCAGAGTTGTGAATGTCAGCCATAAAGCAGCTGTGTTGGACTCCATAGACCTAGCACATAGGGTGAGGCCTTTGGAAAGGGCTCTAGGCCTGCAGGACACACCTCAACGTCCGTTCCCAACAGCTGCTCTTCCTTTTTAATGAGTTGATAACTGACCCCTAGTCCTCACCTGGCTGTGCCAGAAGCCATTTCTGTCCCTCAGGAAACTGGGAGTTGTGTAGCTCACTGTGTTTGCAAGTAAAGAACAAGTCCTGTCTGGGTCCTAGAGTCCTGTCTTGGTGCTGGACTGGTTCAGCCCACATGTAGCTGAGCCTCTTCCACATGGTCTGCTTGTGGGTGGGGTGGTGGTTGCCAGGTGGTCCAACTGAGAGCCCAGGACCAACCAGCAATTTGTGTCCTTCTAGGCTCCCACCGTCACCATTGAGGGCTTCCTCCAGGCCCTGTCTTTGGCAGTGGACAAGCAGTTTGAAGAGAAAAAGAAGCTTTCAGCTCATGTTTGACTCTAGATGTCCCAGTTGGCTTTCAGTGACAACTAGTTGTGGCAGCTGCCTCTCACAGGGCTCCAGAAACCCCTCTAAACCACCAAGGTCTGCAACCAGAAGACAGGCGGCAAGCTTTGTCAAAAGAAGGGCTATACTTGTATTATGCTACGTGCATATTGGAAGACACGCAGCTTGTTTACAGTGTTTAAAAGATAGCACAAGTTCTGTTTGCTCCTATATAAAGAAGTCTAAGTGCTTCCAGCCCATCAGACACAGGATGTCAACAAGATGTGTTTGAAATGAAGGGAGAGCAACATGGCCGCCTAAGTAAGTGTGTGATGACAGCATAAAAAGTGGGAAGCCATGACTTTCTGGCACAAGCTGGTTTTATTTAGTGTAAGAGACTAATGGGTAGGAAAAACCTATTCCTGCAATACAGAAATTGAGAAAGAATTCAGGTGAAGAGTTGTGAAGCCAGGTACTACTTGGGAGTTTCTACCTGTCGTTCACAGCTCAGGCGAAGATTCACAGGTGAAAATGAATGGGCCGGTACTAGGTGCATTTCACAGAATGCTCTGTCTTGCTTTATCTGGTGCTAAAGTAAACACCACAGTCGTGCTTTGTGCATGAAGTCTACTTTTAAAGGGAGTGTTGCCTGTGTCATAGGACATTTTAAATACTAAACTTGTTTTTAAAATTTTCTTGTTTTGGTCCCAACATCTTTTGATGTTTTGATGTTTGATGCTTTGAATTTACTAAAAATTACTGGAGGCTTAGCACTAAGCCTGTTCCTGTGCCAGGCCCTCAAAGTGTAGCTGCATCACCAGCAGACACACACCTACTCCAGGAGACCATGCCAGCGGTATAGTGGGAAGGCTTGGAGCAGGTCCCTAAGGTCTTGGGTGCAGGCCTCAGTTGCTGCCCATGTACTGCACCTTAAGTCCTAATCCAGCAGAGCCCAGCCTCCTGGTTCCTGAGGCCCCAAGTGTGCGGGAGTGGGAAGGTGGGCTCAATCTGCTATAAAGGGTCTTTTTCATAAATGAGTGCCACCCTCCACTCTCCTAGAGCTGATTGGGTCCAAGGAGACCTTGTGCTCCCAAGTTCTTTTGAGAAACAGTTCAGCATTGCCAGATAGCTGAGGTGGGGAGGTCACGGTGAGTTACACCTGTGGCCACAGACACATGTGCAAAATGATGTTGGGAAGACTTCACCTGGAGTGGGTCACATCGATGCTGAGGTCACCTATGGGCATGAACAGGCCCCGTGTTTGCAAGGGGTGAGTGTTGGCATAGCAGGTGCCCCACGGGGGACTCCGCCTGAAGTTAAGCTACACTGGCTTAGCCGCCTTCTGAGTTTATGCTGTTTGGCTTGCCTGTCACATGCAAGTCCATAGACAGTGAGTAATCAGCTTGCATTTCGTGTGCATTCTGGAAGCCCCTGGCTCCTCCATATCTCAGGCAGGCCCGCAGGATGATGGATGGTTTCATTTTTTTTTATTGCTGATGTACATTAGTTTTTAATGTTAAAAGTAATCTTGAAATCTGGGAAACCCTGCTTTGGTCATTGTTTATGTTGTATTTTTCTTGTCTTTCTGTTTTTTTGTTTGGTTGGTTTTTTTTGCAGTACTAGGAATTAAATCAAGGGCCTGGTACCTCAAGCACTCTATCATCTGAGTCACACCCCCAGCTCTTTTTTCGGTGTTTTGTTTTTGAGATAGGGTCTCTCTAGCTGCCTGGGCTGGCCTCCAACTCTCCGGCCTCTAGCCTCTGCCTCCCGAGTGGCTGGGATTACAGACGTGGCCTCTACACCTGGCTGATATCTTTTTATCTAATGATGGGTTTTTACATCTGAATTCATGGTAGTTACTGGTGTGGACTTCTAAAGTTTTCTAATTATATAGTCAACTTTTGTCTGTGCTGTAGCAATATTCAGGCTTTCTTGAGTCAGCTTTGACAATTCATGTCTTTGAAGGAAGTTACCCGTTTTCTCTAAAGATGTCAAATGTATTGAAATGGGGGTTATCTCTGTGGCAAAGTGCCCTCTGTTCCTGAGGCTGGCAATTTGTGTTTCCTCTCTTTGAATAATCTAGCCACATACTTATCTATATTTAGGTTTGTGGTTTTCCACTTCATTACTCTGGTACTTTATATTCTTCTACTTCTTTTGGGTTTGATTTGTTCTTTATCTAACTTTTTTTTAAGATTTTTATTTCATTCATATATGCATACAATGTTTGGGTCATTTCTTCCTCCTTACCCCCCCCCCCCGCTCCCTCTCTTACCCCCCCCTTACCCCTCACTACCAGGCAGAAACTATTTTGCCCTTATGTCTAATTTTGTTGTAGAGAGAGTATAAGCAATAACAGGAAGGGACAAGGGTTTTTGCTGGTTGAGATAAGGATAGCTATACAGGGCATTGACTCACATTGATTTCCTGTGGGCGTGGCTGTTACCTTCTAGTTAATTCTTCTGATCTCAACTTTCTCTAGTTCCTGTCCCCTTCCCTTCATTGACTTCAGTTGCTTTAAAGTATCTGCTTTAGTTTCTCTGTGTTGAGGGCAACAAATGCTATCTAGTTTTTTAGGTGTTTTACCTATCCTCACCCCTCCCTTGTGTGCTCTCGCTTTATCATGTGATCAAAGTCCAATCCTCTTTATTGCTAGAGATGGTGATCATTTTTTCATGTGTTTTTTGGGCCATTTGAATTTCTTCTTTTGAGAAAGTTCTGCTTAGTTTCACGTGCCATTCTTTATTGGTTCATTAATTTTGGGAAGAATTAGTTTTTTTAAGTTCCCTATATATTTTGGTTATCAGTCCTTTGATGTGTAGCTGGCAAATATTTTCTCCTACTCTGTGGGTGTTCTTTCAGTTTAGAGACCATTTCTTTTGTTGAGGAGCGCTTTTTAGTTTTATGAATTCCCATTTATCTATGCTGTCTCTTAGGTTGCTGTGCTGCTGGGGTTCCACTGAGAAAATTCTTGCCTATACCTATTAATTCCAGTAGTTCCTTCTCTTTCCTGTACCAACTTTAGAGTTTGGGGGTCTGATCTAAGATCCTTTGATCCATTTTGAGCTTAATATTGGTATAGGGGTGATGGACATGGATCTGTTTCAGTTTTTTGCAGACTGCCTAAGCAGTTTTCCCAGCAGTTTTTGTTGAAGAGGCTGCTTTTCTCCATCGTATATTTTTAGACCCTTTGTCAAAGACAAGTTGTTATAGTTTGGTGGCTTCATATCTGGGTCCTCTATTCTGTTCCAGCTGGTCTTCATGTCTGTTTTTGTGCCAGTACCACGCTGGTTTTATTGTTATTGCTTGTAATATAGTTTGAAGTCAGGTATTGTGATACCTCCAGCATTGTTCTTTTGACTGGTGTCATTGGAATTTTGATGGGAATTGCATTAAACATGTAGATTATTTTGGGAGTATAGACATTTTGCTATGTTGATTCTACAACCCATGAGCATGGGAGATCTCTCCACTTTCTATAGTTTCCTCAATCTCTTTCTCAGAAGTGTATAGTTCCTTGTAGAGGTCGTTCACATCCTTGTTAGGTTTACACCTAGGTATTGATTTCTTTTGAGGCTATTGTAAATGGAATTGTTTCATATATTCTTTTCAGTTTGTTCATTGTTAGTGTATAGAAATGCTAATGATTTTTTCTTGTTGATTTTATATCCTGCTACCTTGCTATAGCTATTGATGGTGTCTGGAAGCTTTTGAGTAGAGATTTTTGGGTCTTTAAGGTATAGGGTCATGTCGTCTGCAAATAGGGATATTTTGACAGTTTCTTTACCTATTTGTATTCCTTTTATTCCTTCTCTTGCCTAATTGCTCTTGCTAGGAATTCCAGTACTATGTTGAATAGGAGTGGAGATAGTGGGCATCCTTGTCTAGTTCCTGATTTAGAGGGAATGATTTCAGTTTTTCTCCATTGAGTATAATGTTGGCTGTAGGTTTGTCATATATAGCTTTTATAATGTTGAGGAACTTTCCTTCTATTCCTAGTTTTCTTAGAGCTTTTATCATGAAATGGTGTTGGAGCTTATCAAAGGCTTTTTCTGCATCTATTTGAGATGATCAAGTGGTTTTGTCTTGCTTCTGTTAGTGGTTTATTACGTTTATTGATTTTCGTATGTTGAACCACCCCTGCA